TGTATCAAAATAGTCAATTCTGTCCGATTGTGTAAACACTGTGCAAACTATGAAAAGATTAAACTTGCAGCAAATTGCTAATTAAAATATGCTCAAAAAAAAAAAAAGTAAGTCAATGTTAATTTGCAATTGATACTTGTTCATTTTTTCATCATGGGTATTTAAAGATAACAACATATTTTAATTTATGTGCTTTCGTTTAGCACAACTTCACTCTATCGCCTTTCTCTTTGTTCTATATCGCTCTCCTTCATCCCAAGATTGCACTTTTCATCAATATCATCTCTTGATTCCACTAGTTGCGTTTTACCTGACATAGCCGTCAAACAGGTTGATCCCTTGCTTGACATTCGCATCACTTCAGCTTCTGTATCTAAAGTAATTTCCTGCTTAGACTCTTCAACAGCTTGTGGTCCTGACAACATTCCTGTTGTAGTCTTGCAGAGGTGTTCTCCGGAGCTTTCATCCATACTTTCTAAACTATTTAACAAGTGCTTATCAGAGTCTTGTTTTCCATCATGCTGGAAAGCAGCATCTGTTATCCCTATTTTCAAAAATTCCGGAGAGCGATCTGATTCATCTAACTACCGTCCCATTAGTCTTCTTCCTGTCATAAGCAAGGTTTTTGAATCTTTAATCAACAAACACTTAATCTCTCATCTAGAATCAAATAACTTACTTTCTGATCATCAATATGGATTTCGGTCTTCTCGTTCTACAGCTGATGTGCTATCAGTAATAACCGATAGGTTTTACCGTGCATTAGATAGAGGTGGAGAGGTTAAGGCTATCGCACTTGACATTTCTAAAGCTTTTGATAAAGTTTGGCATGCTGGTCTTCTCCATAAGCTTTCTTCTTATGGTGTAGCTGGTAACGTCTTTAAGATTATTGAGTCCTTTCTTTCCAATCGTAGTATAAAAGTTGTCCTCGATGGACAACACTCTTCTTCACATCCTGTAACTTCAGGGGTTCCTCAAGGTTCAATTCTTGGCCCTATACTCTTTTTAATTTACATTAACGATCTTCCAGATATTCTCACATCTAAGGTGGCATTATTCGCTGATGACACTACCATTTACTCTTGTCATGATAAGAAGCCTACACTCTCTGATTGCTTGGAGGGGGTATCTGAGCTTGAAAAGGATCTCACTTCTGCTACAGCTTGGGGCTCACAGTGGCTGGTGAACTTTAATTCAGATAAAACTCAATTTTATTCGGCCAATCGTTATCGTAATAATTTAGATCTTCCTATATTTATGAATGGTAATGTACTAGATGAGTCATCTACCATTCATCTTCTAGGATTAACTCTTACTTCTGATCTTTCTTTTAAACCGTATATCAAATCCATTGCAAAATTAGCATCTGCTAAGGTTGCATCTCTTTATCGAGCTCGACACTTTCTTACTCCAGATTCTATTCTCTATCTCTATAAATCTCAAATCCGTCCCTGTATGGAATACTGTTGCCACATCTGGGGCGGATCTTCTAATGATGCTCTTTCTCTTTTAGACAAGGTGCAAAAACGAATTGCAAACATAGTTGGACCTGCTCTGGCAGCCAATCTCCAACCTTTGTCACATCGTCGTAATGTTGCTTCTCTTTCTCTTTTCTACAAATACTATAATGGGCACTGCTCTAAAGAGCTAGCGTCCCTTGTGCCATCTACTAAAATTCATTCTCGTGTTACTCGCCATTCAATTAAGTCTCATCCTTTTTCTGTGACTGTTCCTAAGTGCTTCAAAAACTCTTATTCTTCTAGTTTTTTTCCTCGAACATCAGTTCTTTGGAATTCGCTTCCTTCATCTTGCTTTCCTGATTCATATAATTTGCAATCTTTTAAGTCATCAGTCAATCGTTATCTTGCTCTACAGATTTAGTCTTTTCTCTTCCAGTAACTTCCAACTCTTATAGTGGTTGCTTGCAGCCTTGTTGGAAGTGAAGATGTTAAAAAAAAAAAAAAAAAAAAATTTAGGCTGTTGGGAGAGGATTTAATTCTGCCTTCCATGGGCGTCCACAGGATTTTTTGATGCTTCAGATAGGACACTTTTGCACGTTGTGCAAATTGCAAACTTAAATATTCCCATACCTAAGCCAAATGAGGAGGCCTTGCAGAAATTTGGAACGACAGAGGCCTAGGAACAAAAAAGTCCTAAAATGCTTGCAACCCTCCCTCGCCCTGCCCAAACATGATGGCACTGATTTAGTAAAATTTTCAACTTTACTATCCAAAACTAAATTTAAATTTATCGACAGATTTTAAATTTTGTAAAAAAATATTGTAAACTACAAAAGTTATGACCATGCAAATTTTCCAACAACTTAAAAATGACGAGGGGAGGGGGTGTTATTTTTGCATGGTCATGAATGTCAACTCTTTGCAGCACTGCAAAGAACTGAGATTTGTCTTATTTTTAATTAGAATTACAAGATCTTTTTTCTATTCAGACGAAACTTGAGTTGAGAAAAGCTTTAATTGTAGATTAGCATTAGTGGGGCAGCGAAAATGGTGGCGTGATCTTTTAGGACTGTTCCGACACCGTTTGGTACACTAGTTGGTGATTTAATTTTTGTTAATGCTAGATAGATATCATATTTATAAGTTGCATAAAATGAGGCAGGATCATAATTGTTGTTAGTGCTATCAAGTTGATCTATATCCTCTGGCTCGAACGCTTTTACGAAGGTATCATTTAACTTAATGGCTTCGGAGTAAGTGAAATTTTTTGATTTTTCAAATCGCTTTATATATTATCAATATTTTTACTTTTCTTTTTGATGGTATAACCTTCATTAAAGGCCAACTTTGATCTTGACAATCGCTTTGATCTTGCTGTTGCCAGAGTTTTTCTCAAAGAGCAATGACTTTTTTTCGTTAAACAAGAAACCATGGAATCAACATTATCATGATATTGAAAGAGTAGTGATCTATTTACACTTGTAAATTTTCACGTGAACCTTTGCACTAAATTTTCTTATAGAAATTTTTCACAAATTGGGAGGCAGCACTTTAATAGATTTTAGCAAAATTGTACAGTGATTAGAGCAACTCAGTGGTATGAGCTTTTTTGCTTTGTTATACTGTTTGGGTACATTAGTGGAAATAATATCGAGAGTGTAACACCCACGTGTGGAAAATGGTACAAGTTGATTAAGCGAATTAAAAATAAGAAAACCGTTTTAACACTTTCAAAGATAACTTAATATCTTCAAACATATTCATTTACTTAATATCTTCAAACATATACCATTTCATATATTTCACATATTTCACATATTTACCAAGATTTTGATCAATAAGAGCTTGTAACAAATTAAAATTTTTAGATTTCATATCTCAAATTAAAAAATATATATTTTCAGATTTCATATCTTAAATTAAAATTCTTAGAGTTCATATCTCAAAATGGATGATAAACGGCAATGATAAGCGTTTAGGGCTCAAAATCTTATTAAAAGAATAAATTAGAAACTCTTTAACAATTGACAAAATTCAAAGTTAGAACAAAAATATATTACCAGTCCTTAAACGTTTTTATTTCAATTCTTTAAGCTGTTGAGTTTACGCCGTTAAAAGGTAGAGGCGGATCTAGCATTTTTTGGTCTTTGAGATCCAAACATGGTGCGAACTTCTTATATATTTTTCATAATAAAATATTTCAGTGTTCAAAAATTATGACCATACAAAATTTGAACCCTCTTCAATTTGAGGGTGTTATTTTATATGGTTATAATTTTGGCGCAAAAAAGACCCAAAATTTCAATGCGAAAATTTTGGGGCTTTTTTTGTTTCCAGACTCCAATAATCGTAATTTTTCGCAAAGTATTCCTATTTGTCAAAAGTATAAACAAAATAATATACAGAAATATAAGTATAAATGTTTGGAGTTTGTTTCATATTTGGAAATTAGCAATCTTGAAAACTGTAAAACAAATATTGTTAACAACAATACATTGGTTTCACATAATGGTGCACGGAGATAAAGATAGACTGAATATGCTTAACTATAGTAAATTTTTGCAAAAAAAATGTAATTAACAGCATTGAACAGTTTATGGTACAAAAAAAAAATCATGCGGATCCATAGTATCCTTCAAATTGAGGAATACCTTGATGCCGTATGCATTAGTACACTTAAACAAATATTGAGCATTTCAAACTATACAATCACTCTTAGTCTACGCCAAAACAGTTACTCTCAGGTCATTTTTAAGTTCAACTTTAGAATAGCAAAGTCCAAAATGTATTTAAACGCGTACTTATATATATATACATAAATATATATATATATATATATATATATATATATATATATATATATATATATATATATATATATATATATATATATATATATATATATATATATATATATATATATATATATATTATATATATATGTATATATATATATATATATATGTATATACATATATATATATATATATATATATATATACATATATATATATATATATATATATATATATATATATATATTATATATATATATATATATATGTATATATACATATATATATATATATATATGTATATATACATATATATATATATATATATATATATATATATATATATATATATATATATATATATATATATATATATATATGTATATATATATATATATATATATATATATATATATATATATATATATGTATATATATATATATATATATATATACATGTATATATATATATATATATATTATATATATATATATATATATATATATATATATATATATATATATATATATATATATATATATATATATATATATATATATATATATATATATATATATATATATATATATATATATATATATATATGGATTTCTCTTACTTACTGGTATAAGACTAATAATTAAGACGACTAAAAAAACTAAATGAAATTTGAACATCTAAAAGATTTAAAAGCATTTACTCACAAACAACGTATTTATAATGTGTGATATTTTTGTTTTTTACCTCTTTACAAGAACCAGTATCACAACTATCATCAAATAATCCTGGTGAACCATTATCAACCTAATATGTTAAAATAAAAGTTAATTTTTCCTAATAAAACTGAGTTAATAAGCTAATAAATAAATTAACTCTGAAACCTACACTTAAGTTAATGCAATACAAATACAATTGACCCCATATGAACCACTCTTTAGTTAAAATATTAAAAAGCGTGCATCTTTTAAAATATGATGCTGTTGTTGCTGCTTGAAGCAAAGTAAATACGAAAAAATAACTTCCCATTATTATTTAAAAAATCTATTTATGTAAAAATCAAAAAAAGTTTAACTAAAATCAAAACTAAAATAACTACAGATCAAGTTATTTTACCATTAACATAAATTCCATATTAAATCGTGTTAAGATTTTTCACAATTTTTTATTTAATTTATCTGTATACAAATAGAATTATTTATAGAAATGATAGAAAACATTTTTAAAAAAAGTTTTTCAAAACATCAATATTTTAAAAATTAGCTTTTGAACACTGGATTAATATTTAAAGGAACTTATTGGTTTTTACAATTTATAATTGACAGTTCGGTGAGTATTGCTATGTTTTGTTATAAACATTTTTTAATTTACTTCAAGCTTTTGCTAAATTTTTAGTTTATTTTAAAAAATATAAAGTCTGTGAGTTCAATATTTAGTTTTTTAGTTTTTAAGTTTTTTCTATAATTCATTGAAATTTATAACTAGTGTCAAAAAAATTTCTATTAAGTTATGACGTATTAAAAAAATAGTAAGCTCTTATATAATATTGTAAAAAGTATAAAACATTATTTAACTTCGTTGTGTACTATATGTATAGCTCTAATAATACGCACCTCTAGAATCTTTGCACCCCTTCCCCCTCCCCTGGAAATAAAATAACAACCTGCTGATTTAACATTGTCATGATTTATAAAAGAAACTTCTTGTTTCTATTTTCAACTTAACTTTTTTTTTTTAATTTAGGAAAGTTTGGAATAAAGTTCAGTTTTTTTAAAACATATCAGATTTTTTAACGTTATGAAACATTCTGCTGTGTTCATTGTCGCGATTAAATTTTTATTTTTACTGAAACTAATTTTTACTGCAATATTTAGGGACGGGGGGGGGGCAATTTGATACAGGAGTAAATTAATACTAAACTAATGAAACAGTTATTACACTAATTGTGCGAATAAGATTTGGTACGGGAAATAGCTTTTTAGTTCCCTAACGTCCGATGTAAAAAGATTTCCGCTCATTTCAAAGTTTATCAAGCTGAGAAGCATTTTGTAAATCGTTTTGAAAAAAACTGACAACGTGTTTCGTAAGAGATTTTACAAAAAAGGTAAGTACATTTAGCTCATCAACATTTCCATAAGTTTAAGAAAACATTGCTAAATGATTTTGCATATGTCATTTGTTTGTTCGTTGCTTCTGTAAAATTTAACTCGAATTTAATGCAACGCAGTCTAAAGGGGCACGTTGATACAGACCACTTGGGGCAAATTGATACACTGTATCATCCTACCCCTTTGGTAAAGCATTTGAATATGGCAGAAAATATTTTTGTTTATGTATTTGCATTAATGCAATTAAATGTTTGGTGTAGACTAATGTTTTTTTTTCTCGTAGAGATAGTAAATAGGTAAATAGGCCTAATAAAATAGTGTTAGGACTACGGCCTGATTATTGTTAATACCACTATTTAAAATAATAATAATGTATGTAATAGTGACTAAAAAGTTTATTAGCCAAGTTATGGCTAGGGCGGCTAGGGAAATTATAGGGTTTTTCTAGGTCTTGCCTTGGATCTATTAATATTATGACACACATTTTTAGACAATAATATTACTTTTCATCATGTCATCAATTACTTTTTTTTGTTACTTATCATTTTGTATAGGCTAAACAAAAAGCACATTACTATTAAAATAAAATCTCGAATATAAGCCTCTCTTGTGATTTATAGGCTGCAATTTTACTATGGAAGGTAAAAAGCAAGTCAAATTTATGTTAACTGTGTAGCCATATTATTTTAGTTTGTTTACTTAATCTTTTGTGTTTGTTTACCTGTTTACATAATCTTTAGTGTTTGATTACTTAATTTGTTTTTTAAAGCTATATTTTCAAGTCTTATTAAATGTATCAACTTGCCCTATGGTGTGTATCAACTTGCCCCAGCATGGGGCAGGTTGAGACACAAATCTTTACCTTACTTTTTGTGCTGTATTCGCTTTAATTTGTTCTAATCAATAAAATTGTGGTTCTGAAATATGCAGGATACTTAGTGGAACATATGCATGTTATTATTTTCACTCTAAATATAATATTTAGTTTTTAATGTCAAAAAATGTAAAAAGTGTATTACCATGCCCCCTCTCCATTATCTTTACAAACAAAATTACATAGTTTTAAATTTATATAAAATACTGTATGTTGCCTGTATTAGCATTTAAAAGCGTACGATTACAGTTATGTGTAATATGCATACTAGAATTTAAAATAATACAAACTAAACCAAAAATTAGCTTTGATAAGATTTGTCAGCAAAGAAATGAAATTCATTTAGGTAATCACAACAAGTTGAACACGATAAGTGTAAGGTTCACGATAAGGCTGTAGAATTTAAGAGCTAAGCAATTATAGATAATCAAAGTCAGACATTTAAATAAGGAGAAAGCTAAAGTTTTCTTTACACTCCACTGAGGTTACTGGCTCGACTAATGCATAAGGCATACCTCCACATTACATTTCGCTAAAACAAACAAAGCTTTAAAATATTTTTATTTTGACTGTAAACATAGGCATATTTACTGAAGCTAAGTTATATTAAACTCTCAACATTAAGAAATATGTAAATAAAAGCAACCTTAAATTAACAAAAAAAAAAATTGCCATAGTGACTCCGATTTGAAATAGTTATGACTTTCTCTGTCGTTTGAAGTTTTTTCAAAAATTTAAAAAAAGAGTTATATAAAATAGAACAATAATTTTAGATTTTCTTACGATATGACAAGTAGAACAAAGTGAATATAAGTTCTTAACACCACTAAGTTCTTAATCTTTGACATGAAGGTTTCTAATTTTTATTAGACTAAAGCAGAACATCAATTTCGTAAAATATTATGAGGGGTTATTAAATACCTTTAAAGTTTGTTACACCTGCGCATACTTTGTTAAATCTATGAGCGGTACAATGCATGTAAAATGCAAATAATTGAATAGGGAATTGAAAACAGGGAAAGTTTCATTGACGACAAAAATCTTGCAATACACTAGCAATTGTTTCCGCAATACTATTTGAAATTTCATAACCTAGCAAAAAACTGTAAATTCTTTAAGTTGGTCATTCAAAGAGCAATTTAAAATCATTCTTTTAAATGGCTGACACAACACATGAACTTTTAAAAATCTGATCTCTGTACGTGTATCATATCTGTATCATGTTGTCTTACACTAGCTAACACAGTTAGCCAACTAGCACAGAGACGTTGTTAAAACATTAGAACAAATATGTCCTGCGTTTCGCTGGCCCAACATCGGCAGCCAACGTTGTTTTTATATCATTTGGTCACAAATGCGACGTCGCCAACAACTAAAAACCAATTTTGATAAAACATTTATTTAAAGTTGGAAAAGGGTTATATTTTCTACGTTGGTTCAACGTTTTATTTTATACGTTGGCCCAACGTTGATTTAACGTTGAATTTAATTGGCAAAACGTTGTATTCAATATTATTCAAAATTCAATTTTCATTTAACTATATTTTCGTTATTTAATATTATACAATAGGTATTGTGGTTTATCCTCCTCCAGCTAATTGCCATACGGAGGCCACATTACCAAGGACCGCAAAGACAAGTTCAGCTAATAAATAGTGTCATTACCTGCTCTACGGACCAAGAGTAAAGTGAGTTTAGGAAGAACGAAGAATGTTAGAGTAAAAGACAGAAAAAGTCGTGTTAGAAAGATAGCATACAGAAAGCGGACAGGATTGCACACGGTGTTAGAAGGTGCAATTTAATTAAATACTTATTAAAAATAAGTAGTTAATTTTTTATATATAATACATAAATATTATTGTAAATAAATAAATTTCACAACGCTTGATCATCCTAACAAAAATCATGTTTGTGTTGATTGTGGTTTGATATTTTAATAATCACGGAAGATTTTATTTTAAGTTGAATAATTTCGCAATAGCAATGTTTGATCGCATACATTGGATCAACGTTCGGTTTAGTTCGTAAAAACAATTAACTTTTTGCGATGCATTTACAATCAACGTTGATTTATATACATTGAATCAATGTCGAAATATATACATTGGTTCAACATTGGGTTTAGATCGTAAAAACATTCAACTTTTTGCAAAGTTTTTACATATATTGGACCAATGTAAATTTACCAGATGTTTTTAGTTCCGTCGGTAATAATTTTATCATTAACCAAATGACATTGGATCAACGTTGGTTTTGCATTGGAAAAAAAAGCCGACGTTTGCGATGTTTTTACATACGTAAGTGTGCTAGCTGGGAAATAAAAGTTAATTTAAACAAAAAGCTTTTTCTCAGATGTATGGATTAAAGCCAACACTTTGCTTCTATAACAACAAGTTCTTGTAATAGTTCAATAATTATTCTTAACATTTAAAGAAGTTTTTTACAGTTGCATTTTTAAAAGTTTGACAAAGTTCGTCTACCAATTTCTAATTTAGCCAAGTATTTTCGTAAAGTGAAAACAGATACACAAGCAAAACTTAAAGTTGTTATATTATATATATATATATACATTTTTTTTACAAAGTAGAATTTCTTATTTTGCAAAGTAGATCATCTTTTTGTGTGAAATTTTCAAGGTGTATATTTGTTAAGATGCAAATATTTTTCATTAAGTTTAATAGTTGCGTTTGTTTATTTTATTTGTAATTAAAAAAAATATCAAATAATTTATAAAAAAACAATAACAAATGAACAATAAAAAAAATACATCAATAAAGCTGTCACGATATAAGCCGAAATCTTCTTTATTATAATGTTGTGAAATTCGATCAGTATAAAAATACCTATTAATTCACAAACTTCAGCACCATCAAATGCCCCTATTGTTACATCGAACAACCCATCTCTTTTTTTAATCCATGCTTCATTGTTGTTGAAGATATATATATATATATATATCTTGTATATATATCTATATATCTTGTATATATATATATATATATCTTTTATATATATACCTTGTATATATATATCTTGTATATATATACCTTATATATATATATATATATATATATATATATATATATATATATATATATATATATATATATATATATATATATATATATATATATATATATTTATATATATATATATATATATATATATATTTATATATATATATATATATATATATCCCGTCAGTTTAGCAGCTGTATTGCTATGTCGGAAAAACAATATAAAATTGATTTATCTACCATCCCACTCGCCATTGCTGGTTTTGAATATACTGGGTTATTTCCAATTAAAAAAAACAAAATCAATCAACAGGCGTTATCTATCTCCGAAACGTTTAATCAACCGACGTCTTCAACGCCATTGCGAACAATTAAGTCTTTAGCATTATCTTCTGAACGAGCAAATGCAGCTTCGAGGGTCGACAAGTACAGAGCACTACATGAGAGAATGAAAGTCGAAATGGAAAATGAGCTAAAGAGTCTTTTTCAAGTAAAAAATCAGTCTCATGTAAAAAAATTGAGCTAACCTAATATTCCAAAAATTGCTGGCCAATCTATTACAGAACACAGTGTTGCAGATCATCTCAAAAAAAGACAACTCAAATTAGCAGAAAAACAAGCTAAAAAGTGTAAAACCGTCTGCAAACTCATAATGCCATTGTCAAACCCTGCAGGAAAATAAGTAACTCAAAATGAAGAACCGATTACAACACCTTCAGCCAAAAGAAGAAAAGTTATTAAATGCAGAAAATGTAAAAAAGAATTATATTCGGGCATGATGTCATGCGAGAATCCAAATTGCAATACTTGGCCCTGCAACAAAACATATTTGCCAAAAAATTTTGTAATGGGTTCAAATTTTTTTTGTTGTAAAAAATGTAAACCTTATTTTTTTTATTATTTCTGTATGCTATATAAAAAATATATAGCATATTTCTGTATGCTATATAAAAAATATATAAAAATATATACATTTACATATATAAAATGTAAAACTTATCAAATGTATTTTATATTGATCGATTTTAACAGATTTTCTGCCAAAAGCGATCTTTTTTTTTTCTTCTAATGCTTGTTGGTATTTTCTATATTATTAAAAAAGTTACTTGATTTGTATTGTTTGGTGATCGGCCCGCTTTTACTCTATATCAGCTTTAATGTCATTTAAATACAAAATGAATCATTAAATAATGATATTATACTTAGTGATATAAACTAAAAAGTTATCTATATTCAAAGCATAAACCTAAGGTTGTCCTTTTATCATCCTGAATATTAAATGCTACTTGGTATGGACGCAATACAACTGCTTTGAGGTGTCCAAGTCAGGAGAGATGACGAAACCATAAAGCTCAATGTAGAACAACTAATTGTTGGCGCTGCTGTAATCTCTCAAGAAAAATTAATGAAGTACCTTTGCCTACTATTTAAAAACTGATTGAAAGAGATTTATGAGCAGAATTCAAAAATGGCAGTTGTAGTGCGTTTTAAAAATGGCATCTAGAAGCACCAACTTAAACAAAATTCCAAATTATCATATTTCTGAAGATATTAAAAATGAGTATGCAATGGAGTTGAGAGAATGAATAACACAGAGATGGCTAAAACCATTTAAAGGGAGATGAAATGATATTATTCCGTTGATGGCTGTAATTCAACGAAATAAATTAAAAGTACGTCCGATCATGGACTGCTTTGAGCTAAATGAATTTGTATCAAGTCATTATGCAGATGGCAATGTTTGCAGTACCAAACTTTGCATCTGGAGAAAACTGAGAGAAAATCTATAGAAAATTGATTTTTTTTTTACGTGTTCCAAAGAATTCTTTACGGTCTTATCACAGAGCACCGCGGGTTTAAAGTAAACGTACCTGAAGATTCGTGGTGACGAAGCATTATGAAAATATCTAGTAGTGGAATGTGAAGGGCAGCGTTACTGTTTCAAAAGATTGGGTTTTGGCTTTAATATATCAAGTTATAACTAAAATCTTAAAAAAGGTATTTGTTTAGACAAAGTTGTCGAGTCGGGAACGGAATTATTTATTGATGACATCCTTGTCAATAATAACATAGTGTCAAGTTGCAGGGTCAAGAGCATACTGGTTGCGCTTTGTGCAGCTATCTGAAAAGGTGTCAATTAGTTTTGGACGGGACTCTATGTTGAACGTGTCATCAAATTAGTGAGTAGTTTAAAGGATGACTTACAAAGGAAGATCTGGTTCATAGATCACGGAACGTCAAAGTCACTTCTGAAGCAACAGTGTGGTGTGATGCAAGCACTTTAACTGTTAGCATAGTTTTGGAAGTGGCTGGGGAAATAATAAAAGACTGTTCATGGCTGAGGAAAGAAGATAATACGGATTACATTAATCTAGCAGAGTTAAAAGTCATGATAAAAGAACTTAATCTAGCAACAAAATGAGGATTTGAATGTATTACCATAAAGTGTTATTTCGCTACTGTTGTTGGCTGGTGGAACTCCTTAATTACTGGCAACAAACCCGTTTGAGTACGCGGTCTTGGAGAACCACTTGTCCGTCGCCGGTTGTTGTTAATTGAAGACTTTGTGAAGGAGTACGGTATACAAATAAAAACTTTCTGGTAAATTCAACAGAGTTGACTTTACAGAAAAATAAAGCAAAGGCTTTTACGAGGGTACCACAAAACTAGCTGCATTTAAACCATTCTACAATGATAGAAAATGTTGTACCGCCTGATGTGAAGCTGTTTTATAATCTTCATCGCTTTGGAGTCAATTGAACCCTTTATCTGATGAAACAGACATACTCAAAGGAGAAAGTTTGTAGAAAAGACGTTGAATCAGTCGTTAAAAGTTGTGAAATTTTTTTTATCAATATATTCTGCGCAAATTAGATGGAAAGAAAGAAATCTTGAAGTTGGAAAGAGCTGGCACTGATAAGCTATTAACATAACCCACTATAAATCAGAGATTTGTTTATCTATTATTGATTATGGCAAAAGGAGCAATAGTCTGTTTTTATTTAGATAAAATATTCTGAGAAAGAGTACCTCCGTGGCAAGTTTTACTTGAAAACAGCACGACTTTTCGCTTAAAACTTGTTGGTGGACTATGCACAGAACGGGGAGTGTCTATTCCTTTTCGTTGCGCTAACAGACCATCTGGAAATGAAACTGTTGAACGTCATTATTGCACAATCAAGTGTATGGCAACCAGAATTGGGAAAAACGTGCTATCCAGAACAAATGGCGAGGAAACGTCACTTCCCTACAAAGCTACATTCTCCTATAAGTGGAAACGACACACAATTTCTGCCAAATCTAACGAGGAATTTATCCACAGCTATACACAAGGATAAGAAGTATTTGAGAAACCACCTGAATTAAAATGTACAAATGAATGGAATGGAGAAAGAGTCTCAGATGCAAGACAAGGAGTTTCGGTAGAAATCAATGGATTTCCGAGACACATGTCAGACGTCCGTCCTGTTCCTATTTCAGCTGACTTGTGTTCTAGAGAATCGGAAGAACCGATCGTGGACAACTTAAATCTTAAAAAATCGATTATATATAGTGCAATAGTTTCCGATAAGAATGCGGACATAGTGATTTAGAGATCAACGGATATTATAATTAGTGTAAATAGTTGTATTATATAAAAGCTATTATTGTGTTGAGTCAGAAGAAACGTTGTGGGTACGTCATATCTTGTATATAACGTTTATTATGTTTATTATACCCTCGGGAGTATTTGCAAATGTGTACATACTAAGATTAGATATTCACGAAGACAGAGAGAAAAAATAAACATAGACTTATGATTACAATATAAATATAAAAAATAAATAAATTATAATAAACAAAGTTAAACATGAATTTAATTTATACAATGCATAAAAAATAAATAAATAAATAAATAATGTAATTATAAATTAAATAAACGTTCAAACAAAAAGTAAAACAAAAAAAAATATTAAATCTCCGCTTCATTAAATTCATTTTTTAAAATTTGACAAGAATAACGCTCATCACTTTGTTCTTCAAGTGGTTTTAATTGAGCCAGTTTTTGGAGGGCTTCATTATTCAATGAATTAACAAACATTTCACATTTTTCACTTTGGAACGATGCTGAACTGTAATAATCTTTTTTTTCATAAATATCAAAATTGCAATAACTATCGCCTTGACACATTATTTTATCAAATTGTTCACGTAATTCTGTAAAAGTAGGTCGTTTTAACGGATCTTCATTCCAACAGTGCAACATGATATCGTATCTAAAAACAGTAAATGTAAAAAAAAAAGCTTTAATTAAAAATAATACATAACTAGATAACTGTACAAGTTAACATTATGCAATTATGTTTAAATAGAGGCATAATAAATTAAAAAGAGAATTAAAAAAAATAAATAAATAAAACGAATAGATAAATTACAGAGGTTGAGAACAATTTTCTGGCCGTTCCATTCTGTAACCAGACTTCAAACGATCGATAAGTTCGTGGTTACTCATGCTAGGGTAAGGTGTTCCTCCTGTACAAAAAATAAATAAAAATAAATTAAATGGTTATAAATGCTATTAAATCAAATTAAAAATATTCATTTACACTTACCCAGTGTCACAATTTCAAACAGAACGACGCCATAAGCCCAACTAAAACATATATTAGGGTTTACAAAAAAAAAAAAACATATTTGATTAAATTAAAGTTATAAATAAACCAAACTTATTTATTCTTACACATCGCTGTATGTTGTGAATATTTGGTCAAATATGGCTTCAACAGACATCCACTTCACTGGTAAACGACGACTTTTATTGCTCGTGTAATTTAATTCATTATTTGTTTTTCGTGATAATCCAAAATCAGATATTTTAACATTTTTTGTCGCACCAACCAAGATATTTCTTGCAGCAAGGTCTCGGTGCACGAGTTTAACAAATGAAAGATACTCCTGAAATATAAAACGCAATTAAATACTCATTAAAAAGCAAATAAATTAAAACTTGTAAAAACAAGTTTAGTTATGTAAAAAAAATCGGTTTTTACTTTTAATAAACTCGGTTTAAATAAAGTCGGTTTTTACTAACTTTTGTCATTAAAAATCGACTTCAAAAAAGGCTTGTCAAGTTAAAATTTAAGACAAATTGATATTAAAGTTTATTTTAAATTTTGTTATCTCAAACAATAAACTAAACTAAACATGCTATAAATATATTTCGACAAATATTTAAACGTGCCGTAAAAACACAATGTAGGATTATTTCTACCCGACAAATAAGGTTAATACAATCCACGTATTACCATAATGTACATGTAAAAATTACAAAAGAACACCATAAGATAATTTAAAGAATAAATTAACTTCTGATATTTGATATAGTCTTCAGATGGACAAAAATTAATAACTTCAGTGAAGTTTTGAAGAGCAGTAAATTTTTTGTAGCTATAAATGGCGTTATGGCATTTTGGCAATATTTGCATTAAGGTTGTAAATTAAAAGATATTATAAAATAATGTTCAATCACCTATTTATATTCCACTCCCAGTTTAAAACTGTTACATTACTCTCAACAGCATAATCCTTTTTTAGTTGTTTTTGAAATGTAGCCAGAACATCCTCTGGGAATAATGATAACATCATTAAATATTTTAACCTAAAGTCAAATCTTATCAAAATGTTTGTTTCTATGAAATTTTTTTTTCATAAAAACAAACATTTCATTTGATGACACAGAGGACAGCAACGTTAGCAGGGGAAGTTAGCAAAGGGTAGTGGTTAAAGAACTAGTTTTGTATGGTACATTAAGTCGTACAAAATGAAAACAAAAAGCTTGATGATAACTTAAATTAAAAGTCTTTTGATAATAACTTAAATTACAAAATATTACTTTAATTTCAGAATATTAGATTTGTTTATAAAATTATATTTAATAGTATTCAGTATCCGCAAGTAAAACGTTGACTTCAAATTGTACAACGCAAAATAAAATAATAATCATACTGATTACTATTCCAGCTGTCTTCAAAACCTCATTATCAAACCTCATTAGTTTATCAATACTTTAAACAGCTATCAAAAGTCATTTAGTATAATTAAAATTTATGCAAAAATATAATTAAATAAAAAATAAACTTCATACATTGATGACGCAAAATATGAAGCCATCAATAACTCATGTACCAAATTTTATACCAAGAATTTTTTATTTTAGCATTTTTTTTTTATCTTCAAAGTTTTTAATTCAAGCTTTTAAATCTCAAAAACTTTAGTTAATAAAACTTATAAAAAACATTCTTACCATTCCAGAAGCTACTTGCCATGCAAAACTTAACAGGTCATCTGGAGTTATGCTTCCAATATTATTTAGAGGAATATCATAAGGGATAAAACCAGAGGTTAATTCCTCGCCTTTCTTTGTCTGTAAAAAATTAGTATAATTTGTGTAAAAATTTGTATATAAGTAAAAAAAAATTAACAAGAAAAAGAAAATATAAATTAAATTGTTGCGTGTGCGAATTAATTCGTAGCAATTTACAATAGTGTAACTAGAATGTCATGCATTTATTATTTTTCTAATCATCATTTATATATAATTAGAATTTGTAGATTTGATATAATTGATCCCTCCATCAAAATTGTCAACTTTTACAAAAATTGGGAATCACTACAAAGTAAATTTAAAAATTTTAGTAATATCTTTTACAATGTCATTAACAAAGACAAATTTTCCATCTCTCATATGTGGGTCTGATCTTATTATCTAATAAAAAAAAAAAAAAAAAAAAAATTTATCTAGTTTTTTTTTGAATCTATTGACTATAGTCTTGCATTAATTCCAAAAAAGTATTTAATTCCGTTGTGAGACATCCAAATCAATCTTTTTTTAATTGTTAAAATTATTTCTTACTTAAAACTTTTTTATAAATTGTTGTCCCAACAACATGTTACAACCGCGCACACATTTTTTCAAGAACTATTTTCATCACTCCCTCAACTATTTAAAAAGTGACGTCATGTTAATTAAGTGACGTCATATGAATTTTCCTGCCTGCTTAAGAATGACATCTGTGGTTTCAATTTTTAAGTCTGGAAATCACTCTGACCCTTCAAACTATTGCTCAATTATTATTCTTATAAGCAAAGTCTATAACTTCTAATAGTTTTCCATTCTATAAATAAATATAGAATAAATACCTCTATAAATCTTTTATTTGTTTTTGTATGAAACACTGTTGTCATACTTGGCCTGGTTTTTCCAATAAGGCTCTCTCGCTCTAAGACAAAATTTACATTGTTGGACCTGCTGTAAAACTTGAGCTTTTGCCCCAACATCATAAAGTTTTATTTTTTTCTATTGTCTTCAAATACTACCATGGTCGCTGTTCAAGCAAGCTCTCATCACTTGTCCCATCAACCAAAACTCAATGTGACTTATCTTTCAGTTGCATTCTTTATTGCTACCATTTCTTCGTGCTCAAAAAAAAATTTATGCATCTTTTTCCTCAAACATTGATGATTTGAAATTTTCTACTGTATTTATATTTTTCTACAGTCTTTTAAATTATTCTGTCAACTATTTTCTTAATCTTAAACTCTTTTCTTTGTTTTCTTTTAACTTCTAACTATAATAGTGAATACTTGCAGCTTTGTTGGGAGTGGGTTTTAATATATATATATATATATATATATATATATATATATATATATATATATATATATATATATATATATATATATATATATATATATATATATATATATATATATATATATACATATATTATTATTATTTTATAAACATCAATAAATACGATTTTCTCTCAAAATGGTCACAACAATCCAGCGAAAATTTCTTTTAAAAAATAAAAAATAAATTTTTTTAAGAGAAAATCGTATTTATTGATATTTATAAAATAATAATTTACATACTCTCATACATGATGTCTACATTCAAAATGATATATATATATATATATATATATATATATATATATATATATATATATATATATATATATATATATATATATATATATATATATATACACATATATATATATATATGTATATATATATAAATCTATATATATATATATACATATATATATATATATATATATATATATATATATATATATATATATATATATATATATATATATATATATATATATATATATATATATATATATATATATATATATATATATATATATATATATGTATATATATATGTATATATATATATATATATATATATATATATTTATATATATATATATATATATATATCAAAATATTACTTAGCTTAGGTATAGAAACTATGGCAACAACAAGTGATTCTAATATTAAGTTCTAAATAAAATCTAGTTTTTTTTTACTTATGTGAAATTTAAAAAAATATATCTTTTAAATTAAAAAAATAATTATAATATAAATTTTTAATTATAAATTTAAAAAAACAGTTAGTTACTATTAAACTTAGCAATAGAGCATATTTATTTTACTTTCAGTTAACTTTGCACTTAAGAAATTAGCAACATTTAATAACTTAGCAACCCAATAAAAGAAAAACTTTTAATTTCACTGTTGTATTGTTTTAATATAATGATTGGTTTTAGAGAATGAAAAATGCATTTATATTAAAAAAATACATTTCTTTCTTTTTGATATAAAAAAATTAAAAGTTCACTCTAAATTAAAAAGGTGCAAAACTTGTCAAACTTGTTTCAATAACACAAGTACAAATCAAATGCTTAGTCAATTATTTGTAATGGGTGTAAAGTAGCATATTAGGGATTGTTTGTAACACAAATACCAGTGAAGCTGCTCAAAATATTAGTAGTGTAATAGCCTTTGTGTTACATGATGTTCCATCAAATGGGTTTAAATGTATTAATAACAATCCCAAAATTTAAAAAGTTCTGTTCACAAGAATTCATTTGTTGAAAGATAGGGTAAGGTAAAGCGTGTACCTGAAATAAATGTGGAAGTAAAAAAACAACTAAAAAAAGGACTTTTTAATTTTTATTTTGAACCAAGTAATAACTTTAATACAATAATATAAGAAGATCAAACATAAAAAAAAATTTCAAACTATTCCTGTGGGAATAATTTGAAATTTTTAATAAAATTTCAAGCTTTTGATTTGGTGGTTCCCATTAGCTTGCGCACAAAATAAGAATCAAAACTATTTGACGCTTTTTTAAATGACATTTTTATATCTTTAATGTTTCTGCAAAGTTTTTTTGTTTTTTTCATTTTTTTTTTAATAATAGCCCAGTACTTTTCAATAACTCTCAATTCTGGGCAGTTTAGAGGATTTTTGGTTTTAGGCACTAATTCACAAATTTTTTAAAATATCATTCCATAGATTATAATAGCAATATATCACAATAATGACTTAAAGCTAAATGAGGCAAGAACACAAGTCTGTTATAATATGGTTTAATGAGAGGTAAAGGCGTTTTTATAAACACTCTTTAACATATATTTGACCAGAAAGTGTGGGCTGAGAAATATAAGGTGGTGATTTTTTGCCAAACTGCAAATAGCTTGCCAAATCAAGACTTTTTTAGCAAACTTTTCTTGTTTTGTGTATTTAAATTTCTTATCTGCTTTTCCTCTATATTTGGCAACATAATAAACAGCACCAAGAATTGGCTGATGATCGTACTTGATATAAGTTTCATCATCTTCAGTAATACAGAAATATTTAGAAATAAATAATACAGAAAAATTGAGAAATATTCAGAAATTGTCATACAATTTTTTGCAGTGGGTTCTTGGACTTTTTTGTTTAGTTTAGATCGGTTGGGCACTTTTTGTGCTTTGAAAGAATAAAAACCATATCTATTTCTAACTTTTACAACAAAACTATAAATTTTTGAAAAAAACCATAAATTTTTGCGCGTTCCCTTGTGAAAGGTTTAGATTAATCTTAAAACTGTTAACTAGTTTTCTAACTAGTTTTATATTTTTAAAACCCTCTTTTCTTTCACCACCAGATTTGTGCATAATCAATTTTGTTTGAAAAAAATGTTAATTAACACGACTAACAGTGTATGGGTATATTTGCAACACTTTTGCTATCAATTTGTAACTACTATTGGGATTTTCCAAATATTTGTGCATAATTTTTTCTTATATCTTCAACTTTTATCATTTTTAAAACTAATTTTAAGTTAAATCGAAAAACTAACACATTTACAACAACTTTATATTACATATTACCCCACCTAATTATGTTGTAAACTTAAAAATAATTGTTAAATTTTGATAAAAATCTGTTTAAATGCATGCACAATTTTTAATTAACTTGAGAATTTGCTTAGTAAGATTATAATTAAAGTTTAGGGAGTTGTTTTAATCACTATTACTGCTTTCTTCAGAAAAACTCATAAATATTGATAAGATCCTATTACCTCATAGACCAACATTACCCCACCCTACCCTATTTATATTGGAAAACAATCATTTTTGGGAACAGACAATATTTAAGCATATGTAATTGATTAATTTTTGTTTGTTTGTTCTTTATTATTAAAAACTCAAGTGTCTCCTTTTGCACACACCCAATATATATGAGTTTTTACTGACCAAAACAAAATTGCTTGAAAAAATAATTATTAAAAATTATAAAAAAAAATTATTTAAAAGAGAAAGAGGAAAAAGTTTTTATTTTCATAAAATTTAATAATTAAACTGGCTGATTACTTTTTTTTTTTTTTTTTTTTTAAAACTACTAATTGCAATACCATAAGTACAAACTGAAGATGTAATATTAAATTTTTATTCATTCAAAAAAAAGATTGTGTCAAATGTTCAGAGGAGAAATTACTTTATATTAAAAAAAATAAGAATTTTTTCTGAGTGATTTACTTTTAAACACCTTTTGCCTCACAAAGATTATACAATTACTTACTATTTATTAAAGTTATACAATTACTTTTTATATCTAATATTAAAAACAGTTACAATTAGTCATGAGCTGAGTTATCAAAGACCATATTTTAAAAACCATATTTAAAAGACCATATTTTAAAAACCATATTTTAAAAGACCATATTTTAAAAGACCATATTTTAAAAACCATATTTTAAAAAGCAGATTTCAAAGACCATACTTTAACTTATCTAGGATTTCAACATTTTTCTTTAAATACTTTTCTAGATTGAAACATTTTTTGTTCAACATTTTATTTAAGCTCTAATCAACAGAGCTAGTGTTTAGGTTTTAACTAACTGACATAATGTTTAAGCTCTAACCAACTGAGCTAATTTTCAAGTTCTAACTAACTGAGATAATTTCTAAGTTCTAAGCAACTGAGTTAATGTTTAAACTCTAACCAACTGAACTAATAGATCATAATATTTACATTTCAGTGAGAGAAAGCTCTCCTCTATATAAATCTTCTTTTTACATTATAATATTTTATAATAAGTTTTGTTCAAACAAATCTCAAGTATAAGTGACTGATCTAAAAGTAAAGATTGAAAATACACTAAATTACTTTGAAAAAAAACAAAAAAAAACAAACAAGGCTAAATAAAAACCTCAAGTGTTTGAACATAGTTATCTGTATACATAAAACTTATACATGATTCTCCATCCTCTTTTGAAGATGTAAGCTAAAAAAAAACATTTGCAAAATACGTTAAAAAACAATCATCATTTGCAAATAAATAATTTTTAAATATGCAACAAATGCTTAACTTGTAAAAAAATAACTTTTATTATAAAGCTTTTTTTATAACATATTTACAATATCTTTAATTAAAAATCCCTGACATTTAAAATCTAGTAATATTTAGCATTACTTAACTGTATACCCATCAATTTAAACTTATAATCTTTAATTAAAAATCCCTGACATTTAAAATCTAGTAATATTTAGCATTACTTAACTGTATACCCATCAATTTAAACTTATAATACTAAAAAGTTGCTGCTTCATAAGGAAAACATTTAAATATTAAAAAATATATATAAAATAATACAGTGCAATCTCTCTAATTCGAATCTCTTTAATTTTGAAAACCTCCATAATTTGATTAAATGCAAAGCCATCATGAAATGCGCTTAAGAAACTCTTACGTTTAACTTTTTATAATTCGAATTTCTATAATTTGAAAATCTCCACAATTGAAAAGGATTTTCATCAGTATAAATCCAACTTTTTTAACTTCTGACGTGTAAAAAGCTCATTGTGTTGTGAGTTTTTGAAAAACAATATGTGTAAATTATCTTCTACTATTTAAAAAAAATCATGGCATCAAAAAGACATAAAGAAAACAATTTAAAGCACAATAAAAAAACTCTAATGAATTGAAGAGAATTGAAGAAAAGAAAAACAAATAAAGAGGTTTCAAGAATTTTTGATATTCCACCACACACTCTTTCAACCTGAAAAAAGAATAATGATAAAATCTTTAATATTTTGTCAAGCAAATTTGACTAAGCGGGTGAAAGCTGATTTGTATTACCTAGTGAACAAAACTGTACTTAAATGCTTCAAACGAATGAGAGCTGATAATGTACCAATTAGTGGCTTGCTTGAAAAATATAAAGCTTTATATTTTGCGATAGTTATGTTTCAAAAATTTTCAAGCTTTGGAAGGATGGCTAGACTAATTCAAGAAAAAGAAAACTTATTTGGAGAAAGGCTCTTAAAGATATAAATCGTGTCTTTGGCATGAACTTACTAGCTCATAAAAGACAATCTACAATTACTGCCTTTCTTTTTCTAATTTAAAAGTTTAAAACACATAATATATATTGCTTTTAGGCCTAAGAATTACTATTTGTTTGTTTGTTTGATTTCTATTTGTTACTTTAAAAAGAATGCTTGAAAATAAGTCAACTTTCTATTTCTTTTATTTTTCCCCATAAAATTCGAATTAAAGAGATTGTACTGTATCATAAATAAATAAAATGAAAGTTATTAAAATTGTATAATAGTAAAACTTAACAACAGATTTTCTTGTTGTTAAGTTATCATATGATAACTTTAGGCAGAATTAATTTTCAAGCAAAAAATATTAGTAATAAAAAAAACCAAGTTTGAAAAGCAGAGCTAGCTACTGAATTTTATTTTCAAAATATATACAAGTAAAACTGTCACTTTTACTTATATATAGCATGGATACAAACAAGCATGCTTTTTTAATCTATATAACAATATGTAAAAAGCACTACTTTTGAACTTTGATTTTTAGAGTAAATAGCAAATGTTAAAATGTAAATGGTAAGAATTCAGCTTTGGAGATTAAAAAACATACCATAAATACAAAGGTCACACAACTACTATACAAATTTATATACCTTATTGCGGCTATTTCGTAAATAATGTAACAAATCTCCATTCTCCATAAACTCAACAACTAAACATAATGGTTTTGTTATTGTTGAACAACCAATCATGTTTACAATATTTTTATGATATCCAATATCTTTCATAAGTTTTATTTCTTCAAGGAAATCATCAAATTCTGATTGGTTTGCATTATCTATTTAAAAACAAGTTTAAACTTAATAAAAAAAGTCACTTTGTAATAATATACTTTGAATTGCAGTATTAAAACAGCAGAAAATAGAGAATTATTTTTTCTTTAAGTGTCTATTATCCTTAGGAGTGTTTTTTTTTTTGTTTGTTTAATTTTATTTCAGGTTTTTGCAGACAAAATTCTAACTTTACCTTTATCCCATGATATCTATGCATTAAATTATTATTTATTATATTTTTTGGGATTGAATGATTATAACAACTTTTTGAAATATAAAAATTAGCCTGTTATTTTTCTCAATGATGTTTTGTTAATTAAGAATATTCAAATAAACTTTTTTAAAAACTAAAAAAAAATGTGTTGCACTTTACATTTTATATCTATATGTAAGTTGAATTTACTAATACTTGTTTTTTCAGGTTTAGGTCATATACTTAAGTGAATTTGGTGGTTTTATTAACACAAATTGCACAGCAACTGAAAGTATAAAGCATCTTTTAAGTTCAAATTCTTTTTCTTCTTTTTGAATAATTGATTAAGTATTAACTTAAAAAAAATAAAACATTGCAACCAGAAATCTAATTTGTTGTTGTGTTTTTTATAACTAAATGAATCTTGATATTGATAGAAAAATTTTTACAGGATCAAATAATTAAACTAACTACCAATACTAGATGTAAAAAAAAGTTATTTTATGATAGTATGAGCTATTGTTACACCTTGCATTGATGAAATAAAAGAGACATACACAAAGTTAAGGAACACATGTAGACCAGTTCAGGCCTCACACTCCTAAAATAGGGTAAACTTTTGTGATTTTGGGACAATTTTTCCAAGTTTTTTATGACTTTTTAGGACAAATTAGTGTTAAATTTAGGATATTTTAAGACAATCGAAAGTTTGGAATGAGTTTTTTGTATTTAATTATTTAAATTTAAGTTTGGGAATTAACCCTTTAAATTCAATTACTATTAATATATTATTTACCCTTTGATACCCTTGGAAATTATTTACGTTTATATAAAGTAGATAATAAACAAAATATAATTTAAACAAAAAAATCTTTAACTTTACAACAACAACTCTTACATGTAAAACCTGCAAGTAATAACTTATATTTAAAATACTAAACAAAGTTAAATATACAATAGAATCCTGTTAACTCTGACCCTGGATAACTCGGACATAACAAAACATTTCCACAGATTTTTTTGTTAAGTTTTTTTGTTAAATTTGTTATATTGATACATCTGTTGATACTTAAAAGTCAGAATATATATCAATTTCCTTTTAAAGTCTGACTTAAAAGGATTCTACAGTATTTTTACAATTTGTGATATATATTAAAGGACGTAATAGAAACAAAGTATTAAATGTTAATAGATTTTTTTAAGTTAATTATCAGAAAAAACTGTTTTATGCAAAAAAAAAAATTCTAAATAAAATAATAATTCATTTAGAGTTATAATACAACTAAGTTAAAATAGAGTTTAAAAGCAAAATAGTTAGAGTTGCAATATAAACAATATAATTCTAAATTGACTAAATTGACAGTTCTTTACTCCTTTTTTCTAAAACGTCTTGTTCATCAGCAAGCTCCTGTCTTCTTTTCATCCCTGTTTCAATTTTACACTGGGCTCGCTGCAATTCATTTCTTGTGCTGTTTTTTTGAAGCAAACACTTCTTTAAATCACTATTTCCTTCAAAAACTAAATCATCAGCAACTGATAGACCGTTTTTTATCTGCAAAAAAACAAACTTTTACTTCATGCAATAATTAAAAAAATGAAAATTAATAAAAATCACATTACCAAAACAATTTTCATGATGTTTAGTATAACATACCTGTTGAATGGATGCAAGAATAGCTTCTTTTTCATTTTTCAAAACATGTTGTTTTGTCTCCTCAGTTTCCTTAGTTTTTATATGCTTCTCTTCCTTCTCTTTCAACCTGCGTTTAGCTTCCAGGTCAGCTTTGTAACTTGAGTGAGCAAATTTAACTGATTGTATAAATGACTTTGTTATTGGAATATCGATTATGAATCCAAAGCTTAATATAGTATGTTTTACAAACCTCAAAGCCTCAATTGTCTTTGGATCAAGTGAAGTACCATGTAACTGAATAATGTGTTTGTTAATTGAAAATCCATTCTCTGGGGCACTATTTCCATGCGAAAGTGAAGAAACAACTTTGAAAAGAGATATAATATTGGGAAACTTAGGTGAACCACTATCATTTAAAGTTTTAGTCTCAAGGAATTGATTAGTGCATCAATATCAAAACTACATAAAAGTTTTGAAACTATAGGAAGACCCGAATGCTGAAAAGATTTTTCCCAGTAAGAAGTTTGATTTCTCTCAATTGAAACTAATTCTTCCGAATATTTATAATAGCACTCTGGAAGCAATTCCATTTGGTAAATTCGCCATTCGCTTCGTACAATATCACAAACCTCTTCCTTTGATGAACAACTTTACATAAGACTACTTCCAGTGATTTGCATACTTCTAGAGTGAGATTTGTGACAGCTGCTAGAGACTTGTTACTACCCTTTTTTAAAGAATCAAGAAAGATTGCATTTTTTAAAATAGTTGATTCCCAAGGTAATTTTAATTTTAAATAACTAGTAAATGGTTGATAAGACTCAAGACAATTTTGCCGAAATTTCTTTTCGCCACATGAGATTTCTAGCGCTTCTGAAAAATAAGGTTTGGCTTTTGTGCCAATATCAATTAACTTAAGTGGTTTACAATTTTTTGAGTCATATCAATCATCAGCAGCTCATTAATAGATTTTATGGAATTGCTGCCATTATTATTACAGAAGCTTAGTTTCGATAAACTTGGACATTAATGCAACAAAAGGTTTTGACATTTCAGAGTAAATCAGGTGAATTCTTGGTTTAATTGATTGAAATATTTTTTAAAATGTTTCAAAGTCATTTGCTATGAAAGCAATAAAAGAAATATACGGCATCGATATTTCATTTTCTCTTATATCATTTTCTCATATTTCATAATCCTCTTATATCTTTCAGTATCTCTAACAGTTGATTTAAAAGATGTAGTTGTTGGAAGAAATTTTTTAAAATATTCACAAAGATTCTTGTGTTGTTCTAAAACCTGAGAACATATTTTTCTGAGTGTCACCCATCTTGTTGAAGAATGTCTTTGAATAAAGTGTGAAACAATTTCTGTTAGATCTTCTATTTGTCGATAGTCAGATCTTCTTGCAGCAGAATGTTTAAAGAAAAAGTTAACATCAATTGCAAATGAGTCAATGTTGAAATTTAAAACATTAACTTCTGCTCTGAATGGATTATGAACTATATGAAGAGGGCATGTGCCTATTGATATAATGTTTTTATTCAAATTTTTTATTTTCTCTGACGACTTTAAAAGTCTCTCAAACTTAATATTTACATTAGGACCATCCATACCAATATGGAGCATAAACTTTATGTTAAGCTTAACTTTTTCTACAAGCTCGAGGAAATGTTCTAACAATTTTTCAGCAGTACAATGGTCTACCATGACAGTTCCACAGTATGCAATTTTAATGCACTTGTGCTTTCTAGACCAATATTGTACATAACCATCATACTGTTAATTAACTTGTTGATTAGTAGATTCGTCAAATTTAAATGTAAAAACAGTATCATTTAAATCCTCCAATAACAACGTTTTTAAATATGGAAAGATGCCGTACTGAATGGTGTATTTAGACTTAGTTTCACTTTGTCTATATCCTTTAGCAATTTTTGAATCTGGAAACATTGCTTCAAACATTTTACTATTTCCATTGGTTGAGGCAAAAGAATAGTTAGACTCAACATATTTTAAACTATGAATGATTTCAGCTTTTAAAATCTCTTCCTCAATGGTGTAACTAATCTTAGAAGCTTTTAATTCAAGTATTTTATCTTTATTTTTACTAAATTCTGATTGTCCTTCTCTTTCTTTAAACCTTGATGTGTGAAGTTTGCTAATTGCATGGCTTCTTACTTGTCCAGCTCCACTTCCACTGATTGAAAAGGTTTTCTGGCACAATTTACAACTTGCAGAATAGTTATCACCAGAACAAACTTGGATCCAGTTAAACTCAGACTCCCACAATTTATTATATTTTGCTTTTCTCTTAGACATCTTATAAATAAACAGTTGAACTATAATTTCACGAAGTAATCTAAAAACTTTTTACAACTGATATAATAATAACAATAAAGTTGACAATTAATAATAATTACACATTCAATAGATATGAATAATAATGACTTTGTAGTACACACTGTTTTTTGACAGATTAATAATTATTTTCAAATACGCACATTTTAATGTACACACAATATGAATTATTTACAATAGTATACTTATAGTGATGTTGTTGTTGTTTTTTATAAAAAACAACATTACTATAAGTATATTATTGTATAAAAACATTTATTAAAAAAAATCTTTTAAAATTTCAGGACATTTTAGGACATAACCCCATTAATTATGACATTTTATGACAAAAAAGTAAAATTGTAAAAATTTGGGACATTTTGGGATTTTGGGACACTCTGGGAGGCCTGCCAGTTTATTAGCTTGGGGACTTATTTATAGTATTTACTAACAATTACCAAAATGTATAAATTCTGCATAGATAAATTTAACAGTGAGTTTTTTAAGCCAGAAAAGCCATGGATGTATGGAGATTCCATGGAATGTCCATACATGGATGTATGGACATTCCATACACAGATTTTTAAAATTCCTTTTTTTAAATTGTGTAAAATGTAAAAAATCTACTTATGTAATGTTGTATACAAATGTAAAATTAAGTTGAGTTTGCAGATAATATATGTAAAGATTGTGTATATAGTTTTGCAGAAGTGTTCTCCAGAGCTTTAGTCTCTACTTTTAAAACTATTTTTTTTAAACTAACAAGTGTTAATCAGAGTCTTATTTTCCAGCCTCCTGGAAAGTGGTATCTGTTATCCTTATTTTGAAAAACGCTGGAGAGCAATTTGACTTGCCTAACTACCATCTCATTAGTCTTCTATCATAAGCAAGATTTTTGAGTCTTTAATTAATAAACACTTAATCTCTCATCTTAAATCGAATAACTTACTTTCTGATCATCAATATGGATTTCAGTATAACAGATAGGTTTTTTGTGCATTAGATAGATGAGGAGAGGTTAAGGCTGTTGTTGACTTTTCTAAATTTCTAAATTGTTCTTGACAATTCTAAAACTTTTGATAAAGTTTGACATAATGGTCTTCTCCATAAGCTTTCTTCTTACAATGTATCAGGTAACATCAAGATTATTGAATCCTTCCTTACCATTCATAGTATAAAATTTGTCCTCAATGTACAGAATTCTTCTTCATATCCTGTCTTTAGGGATTCCTCAAGGTTCAATCCTTGGTCCTATACTCTTTTTAATTTACATTAACAATCTTCCAGAAATTCTCACATTGTTCAGTTATGATACTACCATTTATTCTTGTTTTTATAAAAAGCCAACACTCTCTGATTGCTTGGAGGGGGCATTTGAGCTTGAAAAAGATCTCACTTCTGTTACAGCATGGGGCTCTCAATGGCTGGTACACTCTAACTTAGAAAAAACTATTATTTTTTTCAGCTAATTGTTATCACAATAATCTAGATCTTCTTAAATTTATGAACGATAATGTACATGATGAGTCCTACCTTTCATCTTCTAGGATTTACTCCTACTTCCTATCTTTCTTTGAAACTATATATCAAGTTGATTGCAAAATTTGCATCATCTAAGGTTGCATCTCTTTTTAGTGCTTGCCACTTTTTTACTCTTTATTCTATTCTATATCTCTATAAATCTTAAATCTGTCTTTGTATGGAATACTTTTGTCATATCTGGAGCGGATCTTCAAATGATGCTTCTTCTCTTTTAGACAAGGTGAAAAAATACATTGTAAACATAGTTCGCATACCTGCTCTTGCAGCCAACCTCTAACCATTATCACATCGTTGTAATGCCACTTCTCTTTCTCTTTTCTATAAATATTATAATGGGTACTGCTCTAAAGAGTTAGCCTCTCTTGAGCTACCTACTAAAATTAATTCTTGTGTTACTTGTCATTCTATTAAATTTTATCCTTTAACTGTGACTGTTCCTAAGTGCTCTAAAAATTCTTATTTGTCTAGTTCTTTTCTCAAACATTAAACCTTTAACTTGTTTACCTGATTTAATTAATTTGCAATATTTTAAGTGATCTGTCAATCGTTATCTTGCTCTATAAACTTCACCTTTTCTCCAGTAACTTTTAACTCTAATAGTGGTTGCTTGCAGCCTTGCTGGAAGTGAAGATGTCGAAAAAAAAAAAATTTATATAATACAAAAAAACTTTAAAAATTCTTTTAATAATGCCATGTCTTTTTTTCTTAACCTGTTATAATTTATATTTAAAAAATGTTATATTTTGTATTTAAAAAATGACTAAAAAACAATAAATTTTTTTTTTGTGGGAAATATAAACAATTATTTAGGTTTTTCAAAAGGAATCAGTGCACTTAACCAATAGGCTATATACATGACAGTGAAATTTTTCAAAAAAAAAAAAAAAAAAAAAGTAAGTCACCACAAGCAAAAAATCAGTTTTTTGATTTTTTTTGAAACTTAAACCTTAGCAACGCAACATAGTTGCATGTGTGTGTGTGTGTGTGTGTGTGTGTGTGTGTGTGTGTGTGTGTTTGTGAATGTGTGTGTATGTGAAACCTAGTTTTATTGGTTAATATTTTGAAATAAATAAAATAATTAAATTTTTTGGCTCGCTATGATTTTTAACAATTTTTATATTGTTAATATTAATTTAGTAGTAAGTCTCCATTGAAGTATTTAAAAATCTAAAAAGAGACTTAACTAAACCCATCATTATTGGTCCTCATATATAAAATCATTATTGGTCTTCACATATAGAATTTCACATACATGAATTTCTATAGTTAAGAATTCATTGTAGATCACTTTATTAATTTTATTAGTTGCTCATTTTTAGCAGAAAAAAAAGTTGCAAGAAAAGTTAAACAGAATTAATGTAGTTGATATATTTATGATAAAGTTAATATATTTAAGATATTTTACAGGTTACTATTATACCTTAACAGTTGAGATATTTTACATATCTAACTCTCATGGCTCATTTTTTGTTAGTCTATATATAACTTTTTTAAACTTTCATAAAAAAGTGAACATTACACCTTTTCAATCAAGAGGTTCATATACCCAACCCAATGCCTGCATTATAATACTTTATGCCTCTGGTAACATTAAGTAATGCCTAAAATTACTAGCTCTCTGGACAGCTGTCTTGTTTAAAAAGGTTTGCATTTAGAGTTATGTATTTTTGAGTAAGGGCAATGAGAGAGTTACAAATGACATAAAAAAACAACCTTTTAAAAACTTTACTGCAACATTTTCCTTGATATTAAACAAAGTATTTTTTAATTTTTGGTTCGCAAAGTTTGTTTGAGCAAAAACTTTTTCATTGATTTTTCCATTAAATACAGTACCAAATGCTCCTTCACCAATTTTCCTATCCAAAATAATGTTTTCAGGTAAAATTTCCCAAACATCTGCATGTAAATGATGATCCGTGAAGTCTCTAAAACAATTTGTAGGTAAAATAAAAATGGATATATAATGGGTTGGCAACAAAATACTTTATGTTATATTCCTGTAACTTTCTTAAAAATGTAGACATCATGTTTTTATAAATTCGTTTGTTATATTGTTTCTAAATTTATATTACTTTTTATTATTTTTTACTAGATGGTCAGCATTGCACAAAAATTGTTTTAAAACATTTTTGAATCAATACTTTTTCTGACTGTAAAGCTAGAGAAAAGTATACTTTTAAAAATCATATTTATAAGTTTATAAAGTTAGAAAAATAAAAACATAATTACATGTTTATAAAGTTAATTTGATTTAGTAAACTAAACATAAATAATTTAATACAAAATATGATCTATTTTTTTGCTGTATTTATCAATTGCTAGTATGTTTTTAATCTTTATAAAATGGAATCTTTTTTTCTCTTTTTAAATTTTATTCACACCCAACAAAGGTGCAAGCAAAACCTATAAAGAAAGGATTTGTAAAAAAGCAAAAAAGTTAAAAAGTAAGGAAAACAAATAAAAAGCAAGGGATTGATTGATGAAAATTGAAAACTAATGCAGATAAATGTAGTTTAGAAAAGAGATCTTGTGTTATTATAAAGTCTCTAAGTAATAAGTTCTTACTCAAAATGAAAGATTGAAAAAAAAATTGAAATGAGCATAGGTATAATAGTCAAAAAAACATGAAGATGGGAGAGAGTTCCAAAGGATTGAAATGCAGGGAAAAAACTAGATGAATTAAAGTTTTTAGAGCATGCTGGGACAGCTACAGTCAAAAAAATGCAATTTTGCTGAATGACAAGTCAAGCAAGAAAGAGTTTGGGTTAATGGAACTAGAAATGATAGCTCCTTTGAGCAGCATCCATGATAGTATTTGTAAAAAAGAGAAAGAGTTGCAACTTTACAACAGTAAAAAAAAAAACTCAAGCTTGCCAGATAAAGCAGGTCCAATTTACAATGCATTTTTGAACCTTAGAATAGAAAGAGCGTTATTTGAAGAACCATCCCAAATATAACATAAGTTTTCCATACTTAGGCATAGAATGAAACCATGTAAAAGATAATAGCAAGCACAATATACCTTTGTAAATGCTAGACAGATGCTAGACAGATGCAGATTGCAAATGCTAGGCAGATACTAACTGTGCAATCAAGTATATGCATATCCATGGGAGGTCATTATTGTACAATAATCCAAGAAAATGTAAATAAAAGGACTTAGTGAAAGGGTTGCCATTTATTAATATAAGAGTGTTGACAGTATTGTGATAATTGCTTTAAGTAATAAATCTTTCAGTTAGCAAGTCAGTCATAGAGCAAGAAGATCAAAAAACATATTGGTTGTCAAACAGTAAGTTATTGATGGGATGTTAGAAACTTGTTAATCAAAGACTCAAAGACTTTAATAATAATAGAAAAAAGATGGATTGGACAATATCTAGAGGTGTTGGAATGTTTTTAAAAATTGGAACCAGAGTTTTTAAAAATTGGAACCACAGAAGCCATATTCCAGCAAGCAAAAGTCTATAGAACATGACTTCTGAGATAAAACAGAACCTTTTTTACATTGATTTTTTGCAATAATAAAATAGCATTTGTTCTTAAGAGAGTTGCTTTTATGAAAAAGATGATTACAATTAGATAAAGCAGCTGCACAAGAGGGGGAAGACTATGGAATACAATGATACTTGACTTGGAACTATGAAGAAGGAATAAAAGCTTCCATACCTGCCTATATACAGGATGTTATTTAGGAGGCACATTTATCAGCAGAGATAGAGAAAAGACATCAGCTCAAGGACTGTCATGAAGACAATCAAACAAAAAATTACAGTCTGTTTTATGATAGTAAAACTGACTGGGATTACAGTAATAAAAAGTGTGATGGTAGGGTGAATCGAAGAAGCAGTATGATATAAATGATTTATAGAAATTATTGGCAAAATTGACACTGGCAGAAATGCTCCTCAGATAGTTTATATAGACATACCTTCTTCCATCACCCCAGTACCACACAGCCTCCTAGGCAGTATTGGCCATTAGGGTGTTCCGTAATCCAATGGATAAAATTTTTTCGATTTTTTTTGCTCCCTGGCTTTTCCCATTTCTATTGTTTATATAAACATATTGTTACACTTTTTCAGGCCTGAATTAACGTTTAAGGTTGCCACCGTGGGCTGGAATTAATAGAGTTTATGTATTTTTATGGTTTTTTACCATATAAAAGCCTTTATTTAATGTAATTTTTTATACCATACATTTTAAGTTGGTAAACACTAAACAAACATATGCATCAACAGAATTAATGGTAAGTTGAATATATATATTATATTGTTAGTGAATTGTATAGTAATTAATAGGATTGTATGTGGCAAAAATGTGTTATAACATGAATTGACATCTCAACTCAATCCCCTCGTGCTACACTCCATTGACAAGTTGACTGTTGTTAAGTGTGGGTGTTTTATTACATTGTTCAGGTTTTTGATGTATCCTTTTATTGTAACATTAAACAAAGGTAATAGTTTTTACTAGAATATATTATACCTAACTTTTATAGTTTTTTATTCAAATTATAGTTGGCAGCCTTTTGTTAGCAAATACTTTTATGTTGTTGATTCCAAAAATGGGTTTAATGTTATGTTTGTTTCCTTTGGATGGGTTTAGTTTTATCTTAATATAGTTTAAACAACTACCTAATATGAATACAATTAACATGTATAATATAAATATTATAATATAAATGAATAAAACATATATATATATATATATATATATATATATATATATATATATATATATATATATATATATATATATACCTTAACTATATTGTTAGTATATGATTGGTGACTGCTTTAGACATGGTTGAATCAATAATATCAAAAAGAAGACAACAGTCACAAAATATTTGGATGATAGGAAATTCTATTGATGCTCTGAGCCAAACAATTATTCCTACTAGGGAGATTTTGAAATTATTTTTTCACCTTAAGAACTGTGAATTTAAAACTGAGAAATCAATACAATCAAATTCAATTGTTGCTGATGCAGTATGTGAAGCAGTTCTAGAAGACTGGCATAAGACCGGTATTGAAACCCAAAGGAAAGATAAAATCAAAGAAAAAATAACTAAATTTCACAATAAATACAGGAACGTTCAAAAAAGAAAAGGCCAAAAATCAAATGAAACTAAACAAAACAATTTTGTAGCAATGCTTGAAAGCTATTTTTTCATTGACCACATTAACGCTGATAAAAAAAATTCAGAAAAACAAACTACAGAACAATAAACAAAAAAATGAATACATTAAGCTTTTAATCACAATCAAAGATAACAAAAGAGTAAAACTAGGAACACCAAATAATCAATACGCAAAGAAACTAAAAATGAAAAATAAACAAACCAAAACAGAGCAAGAGAGGGCAACATTGGTAAAAAAAGGCTTAAAGAATTCAAGTATTGAACATTTAGGTTCTTTAAAAAGTGAAGCAAATCAAGATTGTGATTCATCCTTAAGTGAAGCAAGCATCAGTGAATATCAAAGTGATCAAAGAAAAACCTTAAAAAATAATCAAACAACCGATACTGAAAATAAGGTTCAGCTACTATTGCTAAAAAATCCATTCTTGAATCCAAACATTTGCCAAACTGCTGATAGGCTGAACTTGTCCTTGGGACAAAGGACAGCATTTTTGGGAGCTATTGCGAAGGAAAGAGGTGCTTCCTGTAGTAATGTAAATATAATTGCCAAGACTTTGCCAAAAACATAAAATCTGACTTTAACAAGCCAGACTTTCTAACAATTTATGGGGATGGGGAACGATTGGCAGTTTTAGTTGCAGGTGCACCAAATTATGTAGAAGGAAAGTTGCTGGGCATTCCAAAAATCATGAATAGGACAGGATTAGTCCAAGCAGAGACAAGCTTTGATCTCATTAAAGACTGGGAGTTGAACAAACCTATCATCGGTAGGGTATTTGATACCACAGCTTCCAACTCAGGATGGAAAAATGGAGCTTCTGTCATTCTAGAACAAAAAGTTGAATTCTAGGCTGTTTTATTTACCATGTCGCCACCAAATCTTTGAGATTATTTTGTCTTCCGTATGGAAACATCTGTTTGGCTCAACAACAGGCCTGACCAATATAGAATTTCTAAAATTAAAGAACTCTTGGGACACAACCCCTCAAAAGAATGACAATTTGAAATTGCTGGACGTAAATGAACGTTCGTTGAAATCCACAAAAGAAGATATGATTAATTTTCTTAAACTGTCCCTCCAAGAACGTACAATTATAAGTGATGATTATAGGGAATGCATTTATGTCTCATTGTTACTCCTTGGTGAAAAAGTGTGAAAAAGGGAGAACAATGGCTTAAGCCAGGAGCTTTCCATTATGCTAGATGGATGGCAAACATTCTATATGCAGCTAAAATGTATGCATTCTGTGAGTATAGAATTAGGTTATGATAAAAATATGATTCAGAAACTGCATCGCTTTTGCCTATTTACAAGCTTATTCTATGTAAAAGTTTAGTTGACATCTTCAAAAACCATAGATGCTCCTATCAACAACCTACAGTTTTGGAAGAACATGCTAATGTTTAAAAAAATTGACCCAGGAGTAGCAGAAGCAGCTTTGATAGCTCAAACAAGATACCTATGGTACCTAAGTGAATAAGTTGCAGCCTTTGCCCTCTTTTCAGGATCTGTATCTACCCATGAAAAAAAATTTCTTCAACAATTCTGAAAAAAAATTGCTTCAACAATTCTGAAAAAAATAAACGATGAAAATATGGAAACTGGAGTGCCAGTAATGCCACAAATGAATCAAAACGTGAAAGTGAGCTCTCTAACTGGAAAAAATTCTAAGCTTTTTTTTGATCTTTTGAAAGTAAATACTAAGTGGCTTTCACTATAACCGAATGAATGGTCAAAAAATTATGAATTTAACTACATATCTGGGATATTAAAGAACCTAAAAGTTGTCAACGATTTAGCGGAAAGGTCAGTTAAACTAGTTACTGACTTTAATCAAAGTCTAACATGGGATGAAGATCAAAAGCAGTGCTTTTTCTAAGTAGTGGAACAGCATAGAAGGAACATACCAATGTTTGATAAAGCATTAATGATGATGAAAAAGTAGAACTTTTTTTAATAAATATGTATGTAAACGCATGAATATAACTCTGTTGGACTTATTGGAACATCAGTTACCAATATTTTCTTTTATAATGGAAATACATATTTTTACAATTTATACATTTTTTATTTTAATATAATTTTTCTTTTGTAAATTTTATCTCGCTTTTCAAAGTCTAAATATGTTTTAGTGAATTTGAATCTAACATAGAAACATTTTAATCTAATATCTGTAACATTGTTTATTGATTAAATAAACAATGTTACAGATTTGATTCCAATTGATTAGTTATATACAAATAATAAGGAAATTAAAGTTTTCTATAATTTTGTTTTGTTACTCATTTCATAAACTAGTAATTACTTGAACCTCAAACATTTATTTTTTATTTTGTATAAAGGTTTAAATCAATTAATTATATCATTGTGTGCTAGTAGCAACTTTTATGTTTAGATTCATAGTTATAATCAATTAAAAGTATTAATTAATGTTCCGTATTATTATCCCAAATTCATGAATTAAATTAAACTTTAACAATTCATGATAACTTTAAAAGGCTGGTGGCAATGTCAAATCAGCAGGTATTGACCTGAAATTTGAATAATAGTTATATCTTACCAAGTCAAATGGGAAAATTACCAGGAAGCTCATATTTAAAAAAAAAAAATTTTCTGAACACCCTATTGGCCATCTTCAGGAGACAGCAGCAAGTCAGATAGCTAGACAGATACTGGAGATATAGACTATGATTCTATGGATAGAAAGCCATACTTCCCTAACCAGAAATACATGAAAAATTTAACTAGGGACCTCGGGCTTACAAAACTGAATGCTGAGCTTCTGATATCCAGGCTCAAACAGTAAAACTTGGTTGATGATAGTGTACAACTCATGAATCAGAGGAAGTAGCTTCAAAGATTCTCCAACTTCAGCACCAACAACAAGTCAAGCAACAAGTCAAACAAAGTTTAACAGTCAGTGTGATGGGCTGTGCTTCTGCAATGATGTTGTTGGTTTATTCCAGGCTATAGGTATTGCATGTAATTGAATGGCACCTATTCAAAGACAGTTCTATTGAATGGCACCTATTCAAAGACAGTTCATTCCAGAGCTTCAAAGCTGTGTTACTTGATAATGGAAACAACTGCTTGTCTTTTCTAATGGCTCTCAGTGCATCTCAAAGAGGACTACACCAGTGTCAAAATATTGCTGAGTGCATTAAAGTATGATGACTACGGATAGGAGGTCATTGGTGATTTTAAAATGGTATCATTACTCAGGGGTTTTTAAATAGATATCATGAATCAAATTTTCTTTTGGAGAAAGAGCAATGTGAAGTGGGAGCCGCTGATAGAACCGCTGGGGAATGCTGATAGAATCATAAAGTACTTATGCCACTGCTGCACATCAAGTTAAATCTCATAGAGTAATTTGTCACTGCTCTTGACAAGAAGTCAGTAGCATTTCAATACCTCCAAGATCTTTTTTCAAAGCTGTTCTAGGCTAAGCTCAGGGCTGGTATATTTGTTGGACCACAGATCATGAAGATCATAGAATGTGAGGATTTCGCAAAGCTGTTAAACAGGAGAGAGAGCCACTTGGTGCAGTTTTGTTGCAGTTGTTCAGGGCTTCCTAGGTAATCACAAAGCTGAAAACTATGTGGAACTGATACAGACTTCCATGAAGTAATATGCCAAAATGGCAGGCAGAATGTTTCTGAAAGTCCATATCCTTGATTTGCATCTTGACAAATTCAAGGAGAACATGGAGGTTTACTCCAAGGAGCAAAGCGAGCGTTTTCTTAAAAATGTATTGGTCTTTGAACCAAGGACAGTATAACAAAAACATGATGGGGGACTACACTTGGGAGCTACTTCGAGAGTGTGATTCACAGTGCAATCGTAAATTGAGAAAATCTAAACATTTCTGAACCTTGTTGAGTGGTTTCCGACAGTGTTTCTCTATTCCTTATGCAACTTTTGTTTTTATCTGATCATAATGGCAAAAATAATAAGTTTTGTTCATACTGTTGTTGTGTGAGCAAAGATTGTGCTTAATGAAGTCATTTTTTTGCAGACTTTAGCTATAACTTATATAAGCAATTAAAATATAACACTTAGAAGCTAGGGATAAAAATTGTGCTACATAGTGTTATCAATGTTTTTAATATACTGTTATAAATAATGTAACACATTGATATAAAAATATTATAAATCTACGATGGCTAGCAATATAAGAAACTTGTGCTTGTAAATATTTCAAAAAAATAATTTTAAAAGTTAAATTTTTTTTTTATGTTCAAAAGTTTCATAACAAACTTGCTCGATAAAAGTTTATCTATTGGAACATCAATAAAATTAATACAGACAAACTATAATGCTATTGAAATAATATATTAAATGTTTAATATATAGTATATTATTTATAGATTTTTATATCATTTTTAAGTTGAGAATAAATAAAATTTAAAAAAATAAATATCAAAAATAAAAAATTGCTTTTTATAACTAATGTAATATCAAGTTGTTACAACAACTGAACTTAGTTGTTTATACTGGTTATATGGTTACGTTTTATTTGAATTGAGATTTTTCTTTAAATATATGCAAACAAATTCTTTAAATATATGCAAAGAAATAAATGTAAAGAAAAAACAGGATTTTCAAAAACTCTAAACTATGAACACAAGTTATTGAAATTGGAATATATAATACATGAATGATTGTCGAACTACAATTAATTATAAATGTTATTAAATTGCAATTAGTTATACATATATTTTTTATAAAGTTTCTTAAGTAATTTATTAAATGTATATAAGTTTTAAACTTTTAAATATTCAAACATCATTCATCTAAAAAAAAAAAGAAATCTTACTCACTCCATTTTGTATAAACTGAATTTTGAGCTTGATTGTTGAGACTTGATATTTTGTTGACGAATTCTTAACACAACAGCAACAATTAAAATAAATAAAACAAAAAGAGGAACTAATATTGCAGCCACTGTAGTGAAAATATTTTCTAAATCAAAACAAAAATAAATGTTAAAAATGAATATCACACTTAATATTGGGTTGCCCGGTAAATTATTGCTGTTGTTTTATATTAAAAAATTGGCGATCAAAATGTATAATGTTTATAATTAGTAACATAATGTTTTATGTTATTTGAAAGAAAATTTTTCAAGATAGTCTATTTGGATTTTTTGTTTGTATTCATTTTTTTTATTTTTTAGAGCATTGACACGGAGTTTCAAGTTGATAAAAATGAGCATTTTAGACACCACTTTTCTTTTGCTTTTAACAGAGGTGCACAAGCCACAGATGCTGCTAGAGAAATTTGTGCCGTATACCGAGAGGGTGCTGTAGCTGAAAGAACTGCTTGATATTGGTTTACAAAGTTCAAAAGTAGCTATTTCGACCTCAAGGACATATCTCACTCAAGACAACAACTGAGTTTGATGAAGAGCAATTAAATCAACACCTTCAAAAGACAATGAACAACAGTGTGTATGGTGAAAATTGGAAGGAATTAACCAAACAATCAATCCGGAACTTTATGTTCAACAGATGCAATAATTAAACAATGCCATCCTGCAAAAAGAACCTGATAGAGAAAATGGGTTTTTTATGCAACACAACAATGCCTTTCCCCACATTGCCATTACAACCAAGGAGGCAATTCAAACGCTTGGTTGGGAAGTGCTGCCACATCCTTTATACTCTCCAGACTTAGCACCATTGGATTTCCACCTATTCTGATATTTTTCAAATGCTTTGCATGGTGTTTTGTTCAGTAATGACTTTGAATTATGAGCATGGTTAGACAAATTTTTTAATCAAGGCTGGACAGTTTCTACCAAAGAGGAAACAAAAAACTTGTTGAAAGTTAGGAACAAATCATCAACAACAACTGATATTACATTATTAATTAAATTGTTATTATTTTATGTTTAAAAGAAAAGTTATAAAAAATAAAAAAAAACGGCAAGAATTTAACAGACAACCCAATAAATTCGAAAAATTCATAAACATATTTTAAAAATATATAAAAACAAATTAAAACATTAAAAATATTACATACTCTTTACATATATTTAATATACTACCCTCATAAATTAATGAAAAATATTTAATATATTATTCTCTTATAATAATTTTTACTAATAAAATTTTTTATGCTGCGACTGGTTATGCAGCTGAAAGGACCATTTATTGGCACAGCATGACTGCTAATTCTAATGACAGTTTGATTCTTATCAATTTAGTACTACTTTCTACTATAAGATAATACTTATTTCTTTAAAGTCAATATTCTTTCAATATTTAACTTTAAAATTCTAATTTTTTAATTTCATATTGAACTATATTTCACTTTGAATCAAGGCAGCATCTTTAATTTCTAATTAAAATTTGGTTATCATTTTTTTTGATAAAATCATTTTAAAAATTTCTATTATGTATTTGGGCTATTTCTTGAGTCATCTCTCTATTTAAGATGGTATAAACACTTTTACAATTAGATAAAAAGTCTTTTAGTAAAAAGTCTTAGTTTAAAGTCTTTTACATTTAGATGTGTATGTTATGTATCTAAGTTATATTTAAGATTGTAGAAAGTCTTTCATAATTAGTGGTGCATGTTATGTATCTATGTAATATTTTAGTGTTTCGCTTAAATTTATTAAAAAATCATTGAACCACATTGTTCTCTAGAGAAATGTTGTTAAAACTTTTGTTTTTCCTTATAATTTAAATTTATTTGATTTTTTTCATTTACTCAAACATGTTCTGTTTAAAGTATAAAATCTTGTAGATTTTCTGCATCTGCATTGTCTAATATTTAATATATTATTTCATATATAAACTACCAACATGACTGATAAAATAATCTTAAAACCTTAACACATTATTTTCAATTTTTAACTTTCAATATTTACTAATATAGAAGGTTAATACATGATAATAGTACATAACCATCGTATATTATCTTTTAATGTTCAATATTTTATATTGGTATATTATATGTGATTTAAGGAGCTCCCAAATGAAAGTGTGTGTTAATCTCCAGTGTGTTTATAAGGTTTCAAGCACTGTAATCACACCCAGCGAATACACGGTTTGCTGTTGTGGTGTACATTGAAGAAGTCATAGCTAACCAGACCAATAACATTAAATTATACAGCTGCAACACAAAGATTTCTTATAACATATACAAAGATAACGAAGCTGACCAACGCAGCTGTCTGGTCAGGTAAACAAAGTGGTAAACAAAGTGGTCTAAGAACAGATTGTGAAGTGAGAATATAAAAGTATTTATAGAGGAATAGTGAGATTATGTATATAAATATATGAAAAGCAATATTCAATATAAGAAAGTAGAAAAATTCTTTTCTATGAAAAACTCATATTGGCATGATGATGCCAATATAAAAATAATACCGTGAGCCAATGAAAATCCTAAATCGCTGATATATATATATATATATATATAAATATATATATATATATATATATAAATATATATATATATATATATATATATATATAAATATATATATATATATATATATATATATACATATATATAAACTGCTGATATACATATATATATATATATATATATATATATATATATATATATATATATATATATATATACATATATATAAACTGCTGATATACATATATATATATATATATATATATATATATATATATATATATATATATATATATATATATATATATATATATATATATATATATATATATATATATATATATATATATATATATATATATATATATATATATAAATATATATATATATATATGTATATATATATATATATATATATATATATATATATACTCTTATTCCATTTTTTTATGACTTTAACAACCTAACACCTAACATCTACACTATTGCAGTTTTCTTTTATGCTCCAATATAATACTATTTTAAAATAATATAATTTATGATATAAAAAATTTAAAAAAATGTTAAATAAAACAATCTTGAACTTACTTTCTCTAGAGGTATTTGAAACTGGCAAAGCTAAATACAAAAAAAAAAAAAAAATTAGGATTTTATATATATATATATATATATATATATATATATATATATATATATATATATATATATATATATATATATATATATATATATATATATATATGTATATATATTTATATATATATATATATATGTATATATATATATATATGTATATGTATATATATATATATATATATATATATATATATATATATATATATATATATATATATATATATATATATATATATATATATATATATATATATAAATATAAATTTTTTTTTAAGATTGATAGGTAGACATTTGCATTTATTGTATTTCCTTGTGGCAGGAACCAGAGGCCATATGTTCCTCTTCCTGTAATGCCACCCCAGATTATCACTGAGGGAGATTGTTTGACCCTAGGGGTGGTGTGCCATTGGTTATATCGTTAACCAATGGGATGGCGAACATGGCTGCTGAATGTGTAGAACTGTTTAATGAGGGATTCATCAATGAACATCACAAGGCTCCACTGATGTGCAGTCCAGTCCTTGTATTTTTTTGCAAAAGCGACTCTGTTTTTTATGTACTTTTGTGAGAGACGAGGCTGAGTAGCTAGATGGTAAGCACAGAGTTTGTAATCAACCTGGAGTCAACGGCGGAGGTTCCTGCTACTAACTGACATCTCAGGAGGTAATCTTGACTTGATTTTGGCAGAACTGCACGTTGGAGAGTCAACCACCATCCTTTTTATCATTCGGTCTGTTTGCTTGGAGGTGCAGCGTGGAGCTCTAGGATACTTCCAATACAAAAATAAACCAGTTTCATGATATCTTTTCACCACTTTTGATACAGAAGATTGACTGAGGTTCAGTTTATCAGAAATTGCACTTTGTTTTATGGCTTTGCTTGATAAAGCAATGATTTGGGCAGCTTGTTCACTGTAAATATTACGACTTTTAACCAATTCTAACTAAATGACAAACTAAACAATTTACACAAGTAATATTAAAGGATAATTTCAACCTATAACAACGATTTTGATTGGCTGTTACTATTTACACAATGAATTTAATCATTATATCATACGATGATCATGTGTTTGGCACGTGATAACTGGAAAGACTAATTATTGTCACTTTTTTTTCAATATTATTCATTATGGCCAGCATGGTATATATATATATATATATATATATATATATATATATATATATATATATATATATATATATATATATATATATATATATATATATATATATACATATATATATATATGTATATATATATATATATATATATATATATATATATATATATATATATATATATATATATATATATATATATATATAAAAAGAAAAAAACTACAAAATAAAAAAATAAACAATAGAACTAATAATTCTAAATAGTAAGAAGTTTTAAATAGTAGAAAAATGAAGTTTTAAGTCAAAGATGGCGATTTATTAGTAAATCAACTAGTAAGAGTCAAGCAAAAATGATTATTGGTTGATGGAGTATATATGATAGCTCCTTTGAGCAGCAATCATGATAGCATTTGCAGAAAAGAGAAAGAGACACAAACTTATGATGATGGGAGACAGGACCAAGTTGGCAGATAGAGCAGGTTCAACTATGTTTATAATGTGTTTTGAACTCTGTCTAGAAGAGAAAGATTGTTATTAGAAGAACCAACCCAAATATGGCAATAGTATTTGATACAGGGGCAAATAAGAGATTTGTAGAAATAGAGAATGGAATCAGGAGTAAGAAAAGGATGAGCATGATAAAGAAAAGCAACCTTAGCAGATGCTAACTCTGCAACTGATTGCATATATGGTTATATATATTAGTTAGGCATGGATGTGGCACTGTTAGTACTTTTGAAAAGCTTTGTAAAACCACATACAGGGATAACGCAAGGTTCTGACTTTGGTCCTTCAGCTTTTATTGTAAAAAAACTTTACACAGCAATATATCAAGACTGGTGTCTTAAAGTTTAGCGTTAAACAAATTTGCAAATAAAATAAAAATGAGCTAAAAATGAGGAGCCTCTTTAAAATGCAGTGGTATTGCTGACATAATGACTGATTTTGGTCTACATTTTGATTAATCTGTGTAATTTTAATGGTTTGTTTTAAAAATACAAATAATATATTAGAACTTATTTTAATTCCAAGATATTTGATAAATTCAATAACATTTATTATATCTTAAATTTGATTGTTTACTTATTTTTGTTTAAATAAATTTAAATATAATTTCATTTTTTTTTGCCAAGAGCTTGTCTAATATTCACTGTTAATTTTATTGCATGAGTTATTGCGTGTTGTAACAAAAATGTTACTGTTGCTTTGAAAGACATGAGTAAATAGTAACTTGCTTATTTTTTGTAATTTTTATGTTTGTAATTATGTAATTTTGAGTAAGTTGTAACTTATTTTTCAACATTTTTCAAGATTTCACAGTCAGTTTTTCAAAATTCATTCAAGAACTTTTAGTATGTTATTTTTCATTAAGTAAAGTATTACATGTAAAAAACTGGGCAGAAAAAAAAATATTTAGAAATGTCACAGGTCATTTTGCCAACTTTTAAAAATCAATATTTTCATAAAAATTTATTTAAAAGCAATTAAAATTCTATTTTAATTGCTTTTAAATTTCCCAAAGAATTTCCCTGGTAAATTCTATGGAATATTCCCATAAAATTTTTCTGTATATATCCTGGCATATCAAAAATACTATTAATTATTACTCTATATGTACTCTATTATGGCAACCTAATGTTATTAACTGCTAATTTTTACCAGAGTTAATTGATTTTTAAGCAAGCGTGCAATTTAGAATGGGTAAAAGTAGTACTGTATTACTTCAATTTTAAACTTTCAAATTTTTAAGTGTACTAGTTAAAAAATGAAAAAGTCTAAAGTGGACAAAACTTTATACACAATAAAAGATCATCAAGACGAATTTATTGGATTTGGTCTCAAAAAAAGTTTAGCTGTTGGTTCAAAACTTCCACTAAAAGTTGGTCTTTTAAGAAGATATTTGCACCTCAGAGAAGTTGACAATATTCGTGGAGGAGGATCGTCTTCAACCTGTAATGTTTTTAAAACAATTTTAATTGAGCTTAATCATAAATCAGCTGTGTGATATTTCAGCATCTAAAGTCTATGAAATGTTATGGGATCTTGAATTTTAACTTGGAAAGAGGAATGGCTGTTCTTAAAAAATCAGAAAAAATATCCATAAGTGAACAAAACTACTTATTAAGCTATTCTATTTTGTTTGAGGTGTACAATATGTACAATTTTTGATATATTTTTTTTTAGAATGGCTAGACCACAATGGCTATTGAAGCAAAATTAGTTAAAGCTGTTGGCGCTCCCCTTGAACAGTTTGCTCTTTCAAAATCGAATGTTCATTGTCAACAAAATAAAAAAAGAGAAAGTCAATTTCATCAATTTAAATATAATTATGAATGAAACCGCCCACTTCATCCATGTGGTCAATGGAATAGCAAACTTGTTATATCGCTTAACAGTAAAACTACTCAGACATTGCTTTATTAAGTAGAATAATAATCTTAAAATAACTTTTTTTTTTCTTACAGGAAAGAACAAAGAATATGTTGCCATCCTTGCAAACAGATGGGAAAAAAAAAAATTCAAATCCCAAAGTTCTTGGGATTCCTACAATCCCAACTGCTAATGGTGTAGCCCAAAAAGATCAATTTATCAACCATTTTAAATCATGAAAGCTTTGTGTGGCTTTTTAATTGTGTGGCTAATTGAGAAGGTTATCAGTCATGTAATTGTATGGGCTGCTTGTCAGCACCACATTTATGAGTTACACATTAAATACGTCTAAGAAACAGTTATAGTGGGCCAATTGAGCCACTATTTAAAATGCTTCAACCATAGTAAGCCAATTGCAACCCTCGGAAGTAGGAAAAATGAGGTCAGCAAATGCTTCAGGATAACTGCAGATGGAGATAACCCAATCAATTGTCAAACAAAACTTTTCTTGGAATGGGCCAGCAACTGTCTTCAAAAAAATACATTTCCAAGAGAAGATTATTGGGAACTTATTGAACTGGTAATTGTTTATCTTGGCAGAGAATTACAAGATGAAAAGACATTTTAGTTCAAGAAACCTTGTGCTTATCATCATGCAAGATTCATGCACAATGAACTATACAATTTTAAGTATGTAATGTTGGACAAACAAGTTAATTGGCTTAATCAAGACCAACGCTATAAGCTTATGAGAATGGCGGATTTCATTGCACTGTTCTAACAAAAGCTTTTTTGCAAAGTCTAATTTCCATCATTGCACCAAATGTTGATTGCCAGTTCATCACTGACATGCAGTGGTATTGCAAATTTGACAGTACAACAGTGGATGCCGCCCTTCAGTCTTGTTGCAGTCATCTTTGGTATTTAACTCAACAGTTAGTTGTATTCATTATGTTTAATGAATCTATTCCTGCAATCAATCATTCTGCCGCAGCTTTGAAATTGATTAACATCAAAAGAAATGAACAAATCAAGCTTGCAAAACCAATATTTCCGCAAATTGAACTAAATAAAGTTTCTAATTTTGTGTTGCTGATTGGTCAAGATTCCTAGCTACTATTTGATTTACTTAAAATGAAAATAACTATGTTAAAAAAGTAGGTGAGTTTTTAGAAGTGGTTAATGACTGCGCTGAACAAAGAGTCAAACTGATCCAAGACTTTAAAAACAAAGTCGAAGATCCAAAGCAGTTACAATACACACTTCATATTGTTGAGAATCATCACAAACAGGTATCTCTCATTGGAAAAAAGGAGAACTTAATTGACATATAGTTCTTTTTACCATTGTTATAGGCCATTTTGTACATTAGTAACATATTGTTTCTGCCCTGTGCAACCCCTAAATGTTTTTCTTTCAATGAAAAATAACATACTAAAACTTATTGAATGAATTTTAAAAAATTAACAGTGAAATTTTAAAAAATGTTGAAAATAGGTGCGAAAACTACAATTTACTCAAATTAGTTAACTGTGCTAATGTTTGATTTTCCCAAAATTTTACAATAATTTTTTTATTATGCATCTCACCTTTAAAGTTTAACTCAAAATTAAAAAAAAATGCGGAAACAGTATACCCTAAGAAGACAGTGTTAACAAAGATCCATTAAAGCAACAAAAACATAAATTTTGAAGCACAAAAACATCTTATTACAGTGTTAAACATCAGCAAACCAATACCTTCCCTGTAATGTTAAAAAATGTAAAAAATGTTAAGAAACAAGATAATGATCAATAAAATAGAACTTAAAAATGTAAAAAGAAACAAGATAATGATCAATAAAATAGAACTTAAAAATGTAAAAAGAAACACGATAATGATCAACAAAATAGAACTTAAAAATGTAAAAAGAAACAAGATAATGATCAATAAAATAGAACTTAAAAATGTAAAAAGAAACAAGATAATGATCAATAAAATAGAACTTAGTATAGTGAGTTATAGATATTTTTTGAAGTATCGGTGCATTGAGTATTTAATAAAATATTAAATGTTAAAAAATTAAAAATTTCAGCTCACTCTAAAAATGAAGTAAATGGAATAAAGAAAGTATGAAAATTAAAAGCAAGAAACTTTAAAAGATGTTAACTTTGCAATGAATTATAGTTTTAATTAGAGGATCATAAAAGAAAATCTAAAAAAATGTAAAGCAGAAGACTCGATAAGAGTGTTGCAATTCACCCCTTCAGAAATCCTAAGCTACAAAAAAAAAAAAGGTTATTTTAAAATAAACATTATAAACAACTCAATAATAAAATACTTTTAACTTTGATAATGAAACTAAATATTCAATAAATCAAATCTTGATACCTGGAGAAATAAGTACAATAGGTTGCAAGCTACTACCTAGTAAAAAAATATTTCAACACAAAAAGTTAATTTTATCTTTCAAAACAAATAAAAGATAAATATGTGTAATAAATTTGTTAAATCAATAATATTATAAGGAAATAAATTATTAAAAAATATAAGTTTAAAAGTTCTAAATTTCAAAAATTATTATTCTTAAAAAAAAAAAAAAAAATTAAAATACTTGCAATGCCATTAACAACAAAAAAGTTTTTTATTAAAGCATCTTGAGGTTTAGACCATGGATCAGAAGCATAAATTTTGACATTATCAAAACTTTTGGCTTGGTCATTTGGAACAGAAAAGATAATTTGTCCATTTATTTTAATTGTGTAAATATAATCTTTACTAATTAAAACTTGACTAACTTCTATGTTTGACCATTTATTTAAACTGACCAGACTAGTTTCAGTTTTAGTATTATTACCGTTAATAGCAGCAATAATTTGAAGTTTTGTCGTCATCAAATTTTTTGAAGTTTCTAAAACATTATCATTAAACCAAATACCAAGAACTTCCTCACCATTATTCATATTATCAAGACCAGTAGTTAAATAAATAACACTATGCAAAGCAAAAGCAAAATAACGTGGATAAATGTCAAATGAAATCAAGTATTCTTTTTCTAGAATTGGTATCTTAGCAACAATCATTTCTTTTTTTAATAGAATACCAATTTCTTTAACAATGTACTCTACAATACAATTTTTTTTTATTAAAATGTATTGAAAATAAATAAAAAATTTAAAATAAATGAAAATCATCTTTAAAAAAAATATATAGATATAAACACAATAAAAATTATTATTACCAACATTTCCATTAATGATCAGAAGGTCAGTAATTAAACCATTTTGAGCTTCATGCCAAGGATCAGAAGCATATACTTTTATGTTTTGGTAATTTCTTGCATTAGAATTCTCTACACTATATATGTTGGTTTCATTTAAATCAACATAAAACTTATATTTTCTATTTGACAAAGTTTGATATACTTTAATAGTAGACCATTCATCCAATTGAAGGGGTTTTGTTAAAATAGAGTAGTTGTTGTAAACACTTAATGTAGAATAAATAGATAGCACACCAGAGTCATCTTGGGAAAACCAAATACTTAGATTTTGGTTACCATAACTCCCATAATAAACATCCAAAAGTATATAAAAAATACTTTTTAAACCATTACTATATTTTCTTGGCTTAATATTAAAAGACAAAGTAAATACTTTCATTAACACTTTGAGTGTTCCAAGAAATAAACCCTGAGTGATTGAAAACTCTTCTCTTCTGTAAATATAATCTAAATAAATATTAAATAAATTCTCAATTTGAATTTATAACAAAACATAAAAATATCTTATGACAGGACTTTCTTTCAACAAACAATGTGATGAGACATTATCTATACTTTCTACCTAAGGTGTTAACAAAGACATTATAATCTCCCATTTCAATAGTTTATGTGAGCTGACTTTTTAATTAGATTAATTATACTAATTCTTAAATTGTTAATTTGTAACTATTATGTATGGTGTACCAGTTTTAGTCTATTTAATCCACTGTATGTATATTAAATTAAATCAAGCTAAACCAAACCTACAACTTTAGTATTTATAGAAATGTATATAAAGTTACTATTATATTAGAGAAAATATTCAGGTTAAGCCCACTTCAAATCAAGATCTAAAAATCTTAGGAGGAATATTTATAGGATTTATTCATAGAGCTTTATCAATTTGCTCTGAAAACTTTTTAAATAAAGAAATCGATTTCCTAATAAATGTGTTTGCTGAAAATAGATACAAAAAGAAAAATTTACAGGACCTTGCAAATATTGTTGTTTATTGCAAATATTACAAAAATATAAAAAAATGACACTCAATTAAAGAAATAATCTTATCTAACAATGAAGCAACCATCCCAACTATATCACTACCGTGGATCCCAATATTATCACCAAAACTTTGCAAATTTCAAGAAAGCAGGTTACAGGGCAGTCAAAAAAACTACCATCAAATAGCCATCCCAGAGTATACCTAATAGAATGCAAGTGTAAACAAAAATATATCGGCACTTATGGGGACATTAGCGGTATTGGGGACATTTTAGTGTACCCATTAAATTTTTGTCCCTGTAAGCATGTTTTTTTTTTTTATAAAAAAAAGTACCCATAAGAAACTTTTATGGAGAACGAAACGTACATACATCAACTGACAAATAGCCTGACTCGCAAGGGAGTGCTGCTACATCAACTGAGGGTATGGTTAGGCCAGGCATCAAGGTCAGGCTTAGGGTTAGGGTTACGGAAAGGTTTAAATTTGGTTATATTTCTGTAATTAATAGTTTTTGTAAATATATCAAGTTAAAAATGAAATATAATATAAAATAAATAAATAAAAATAACAAAAATTAATATAAAAAATATAATAAAATTATAAATTTAAATATGTATAAATAAAAATAGAAATAAAATAAAAATTAAAAAATATATATAAATATGATAAAAATAGTATAAAAAAAGTAAAAAAAAAACAACAGAACGGGAATAAAAATAACATGTCCGCAAAAATTGTCATCTAGTAGGCTATATATATATATATATATATATATATATATATATATATATATATATATAATATATATATATCCTCCAAACTATATATAAAAATATATATATATATTTTTTTTTTTATATATAGTTGGAGGTGCCTTAGTTACTGTATTAGCTCACCTGTAATCTACTTTATACGTATGTTTGTGTTTTGTCTGAACCTCTGGCGCGGTGTTCTCTCACCCGTAACTTACTTTATGTTTTTTATGTATGTTTGTGTTCTGTCTGAACCTCTGGCGCGGTATTCGCTCACCGTAAGTTACTTTATGTTTTTTATGTACGTTTGTGTTCTGTCTGAACCTCTGGCGCGGTGTTCGCTCACCCATAAGTTACTTTATGTTTTTTTTTATGCATGTTTGAGTTTTGTCTGAACCTCAGGCGCGGTGTTTGCTCACCCGTAAGTTACTTTATGTTTTTTATGTATGTTTGTGCTCTGTTTGAACTTCTGGCGTGGTGTTGACTCACCCGTAAGTTGATTTATGTTTGTTTGTGTTCTGTTTATTCTCTGATGCAGCGTGAGCTCAGTAACTAGCTACTTACTCCAACTACTAAACCTACACTCACCTTAGAAACCTGTATTTTGTTAGATGCAGTGTTTTTCCTAATGCACTTCCAAAATGTCATGCCTGGTTTTCTCAAAGTACTGTTGCGGGAAGTAACTCCTTTTAACTACTTCAGGTCAGGTCAGGATAATCAAGATCAATCTTGTTACTGGTATCACGTAACCCAGTACCACCTGTTACAAGCCCTGCTGCCTTGCAGAGTGTGCTCTTCTTATGCAAAGGCTAGGAGAAATAAACTCCGACTAAAAACTCCCCTGCCTTGGAGCTCTTGGTTGAGTAAAGGCTAGAGATAGTGTCTCGATAAAAACACTCATCTTGGGCAAATGTTAACTGCATCCAGCTAAACATCCCCTGCCTTGGGGCTCTTGGTTGAGTAAAGACTAGAGATGGTGTCTCGATAAAATACTCATCTTGGGCATATGTTAACTGCATCCAGCTACTGTCTTGTAGAAGGCCTCCTAGGCAAAGACTTTAGGGGTAAGCAGAAAAATTCTGCTAACCAGCCTTGAACCCCTTCTTCATCTATTAGGCTGGCGTAGATGTAACCTGTGTTACATTGTTTCCTGCCTAGGATGATGAATGCTGGATCTCCTTGACTCTACTTATAGAATTTTGCTTATGCCTCCTTGATAATGGCTATGCAACTCTTCCTGTTATGTCCATATGAGGGTACAGCTCTACAACTCAGTTTAATGGTTCTGAGGCCGGCTGGTAGTAAGGTTTCCCGAACTGTGTGGTAGCTCTCAGAGAGGCTGATTCCATCAACAGCTGCAAAATATCAGAGTATTAACAGTGCTATGTTGCGCATGGATGGTGTCCCTGTTAAAACTTTTGGTGTGCATTGTCAAGGCCACATAAGGAGCCCTATGGCTTAGGGTTAATTAACAGGACTGAGACAACTGCATAACATATTGATTAGGAGGCTGTGCTCAATCTATGAATGAGTCAAGTTTTCTTTAAACCCAAATCATGACCAAAATAACCAAAAATTTTAAACCTAAAAAACCATCCCCACCACCTAAATGTTTTAACATATCTTTTACAAATATTCGCGGTTTGTGAAGCAACTTTCTGTCAGTTGAGTCTAACCTCCTGCAAAATTCACCACACTTGCTTGCACTCAGTGAAACAAACTTAAATTCTGCAATTCCTTCTTCAGATGTCAGTGTTGATGGGTACCTTATCATCGCACCACCTACTACTACCCTAAAGCTGACTGGGATTCTTTTCGTGATTTCTTCGTGATGGTCCTTGTGCTGATGTTCTTTCTCTCTCAGCTGATAAATACGCCTCCTACATATCCTCCTATGAATCCTCCTGGATTCAGGCTGGAATGGAAGCTTTTATTCCTTCTCGTTGGTTTCAAATCAAGCCTCATTCTACTCCATGGTTTTCTCTTTCTTGTGCGGCTGCTATATCCAATCATAATCATTTTTTTCATCTTTTTCAAAAGAACAACTCTCTTGAGAACAAACGGCTATTTATTATTGCAAGAAATCGATGTAAAAAGGTGCTTTCTGATGCTAAACCCCATTATTCTCAGTTGACTAAGTCTCGCATCCAATCAGAGAAGTTAGGCTCTAAAGACTTTTGGAAAATCTTCAACAGCATTATTAACAAGGGTAGATCTAACATTCCATCTCTCATTCATGGGACTGATCTTATTACCTCTCTCAAGGATAAGGCAGAACTATTTGCAAAGAACTTTTCTTCTAATTCCACTCTTGAATCTTATGGACATTCTCTTCCTTCCATTCCATTCAAACAGGTTGACCCATTGTTAGACATTCAAATCACACTGGCTTCTGTTGCTAAAGTCATATCTCAATTAAACTCGTCTACAGCTGGTGGTCCAGACAACATTCCTGTCACATTCTTGCAGAATTATTCTCCAGAACTTTCTTCATTCTCTCTAGACTATTTAACAAGTGTTTGTAAGGCTAGGGCTATTGGTCTTGACATATCTAAAGCTTTCGACAAAGTTTGGCATGCTGGTTTTCTATATAAGCTTGCTTCATATGGTGTTTCTGGGAAAGTTATTGAGATTATCAAATCATTTCTTTCTAACTGGTTTATTAAAGTCATCCTTGAAGGCCAACACTCTTCTTTATTTCCAGTAACTTGTGAGGTTCCATCCTGGGCCATGTTTTGGCAATCCTCTTACTGAGTCCTCCTCTTTACATCTTCTTGGATTATCGTTTACTACTGACCTTTCATGGAAACCATATATACAATCGATTGCTAAATTAGCTTCTGCTAAAGTTGCTTTTCTTTATTGTGCTCGCCATTTCCTTACTTCTAATTCCATTCTCTACCTCTACAAATCTCTTATTCGTCCCTGTATGGAATACTGTTGTCATATTTGGGCTGATTCTTCTAATGATTCACTTTCTCTTCTTGACAAGGTCCAAAAACGCATTGAAAAATGTTGTTGGACCTGGACTATCTGCTAAGCTTGAGCCTCTTTCCCATCGTCGTAAAGTTGCATCTCTTTCTCTTTTCTACAAATACTATCATGGTCACTGCTCAAAGGAGTTATCATCTCTAGTTCCATCAACTAAAATTCATTCTCGTTTTACTCGTCATTCAGCTAAGTCTCATTCGTTTACTGTATCTGTCCCTGCATACTCTAAAAACTTTTATTCATCTAGTTTTTTTCCCCACACTTAAATCCTTTGGAACTCTCTCACATTTTCATGTTTTCCTGACTCATACAACCTTCAACTTTTCAAGTCTTCTGTCAACCATTTCCTTGCTCTATAACTCTGTTCTATTTTTCCTAATAACTCCCAACCTAATAGTGGTTGCTTGCAGCCTTGTTGGGAGTGAATGCAAATAAAAATGTATGTATATATATATAAATATATATATATATATATATATATATATATATATATATATATATATATATATATATATATATACATACATATATATATATATATATATATATATATATATATATATATATATATATATATATATATATATATATATATATATATATATATGTATATATATATATATATATATATATATATTATATGCGGTATATATATACATATATATATATATATATATATATATATATATATGTATATATATATATATATATATATATATATA